GTGAAACAACACGGCCTATACAGCTCATTAGACCCAGCCTGCACCCGACCAGCAGCGCCTCAACTCGTTTGATTAATATTCTTTGCATGGATTTCTATGGTTAGGTAGCACAGAAGATACGCACACTACATCAATCCCATACCATCCTCAGCGAATCGCCTAGCTCGCAAGCTATCCGCGCGCAGGTGGCGGGTGGACAACTCGGTGACCACTCCCTGCTCGCACGCTTGCCATGTGCTGACCCCTGGTTGTGAACGCGCGGTTCCTAAGTGGATCACGCGTTTCCTGCGAATTGACAACGCGTGCCACGCCCCGCCACGCCGCCCGCCACTTGTTATAATACATAAATAACTACGTAAATAAAATATTATTGAAGCTTATCAAAACATTTTATACCTTGAAATCGTTTAGGTACGTTTATAATCTCTAAAGGCTCAAAGCTGCCACGACCCAAAACGTAACTACTTTTCTTTCAAAAATTTTTTTAATCATCGCAGTACGGTAATACTGTTTCTAGGCGAGAAAATCGCTTGTTTTGATCGAGTTATTTAAAGTTTAAGTAGACTTAATTATTTTATGAATCTTTCCAAGGTATGGAAAGAAAAGATTTCCAATCTTTCCTTTCAAGGTACCATATGCATTACAAGATTGGAATTCGCAGAGTACCTTAAATATTCCTTCAACCAAAAGTAAGTAAGTTATTAGACTTTTATGGGACATTCTAGAGCTTTTGTATACTTATTGTTAATTTATACATATTATGTGATGGAAGTTGATCTCAATACATACATGTTGATAAGATTTATTACTTTCACATTTGTAATATAATAAATAACTTAGGTAGGATGTGTGTTTTCTACACAGGCATTAATAAAATGTCCTGAAGCACAGAATTGCAAGATTCCAACCTCACGAAACCTCGTAAAGAAGTTTGTCGTAACTTGATGCTGTCGCTTACATTATGATAACCGTTAAAAATAATATAAGCGAATGATACAACATTAAAATGTGAAGATTTAAAACAATTTGACGTTTAAGCGTTATTTAAATATCGGCTTATAACATCCGAACGAGTGCAAGACCGACTCGCACAAAGTGTTATATCATTATACAAGGTAAATAAAACCATTAGTTTTTGCAAATAGCTATAAAAATGTTTCATGTATTGAGAGTCCTTATTTATTTTTATTGTATTTTGTTATAATGGCAATAGAAATAAACATTTTCAAGGACGATTTTCAATAGCTAACTTTTTATGGCAGGAAATACAGACAGGGAGCGATAGACAGACAGCGGAGTGGAGAGTTAGTTAAAGCCAGCCTGTTCCGGTTCTTACCCTTTAGGTACGGAATCCTAAAAAATGGCAAAAGCATTGCATAATTCATAATTCTATCCGCCTTATTCCAAAACGTGGACTAAAGTCAGTCTTGGTTTAAACCTAATGTCCATCTTCTTTTAGGAAACAAAGGTGACAGCGTATATATATTTTCAGACTTAAAATTAAATATAGAATTTTGTTATAACATATTTAACACGCAATTTTTGTTCTCTTCTGAACAAACAATGAATCATCAAAGTTGGCATTATGAATCATCCAAAATTGGAAGAGAACTGCTGCTACGGCGTAGTATCAATCTAACCCCCATTATTTCCCCCTTGAGACCGTAAGCCCGACCTCGACCGTAAACTCGAATTATTATTGGAGCCGCAAAAAAACAGAGAGTACGTGACGAACCTTCAGATCCCTCATACCAAGGCATGTAACGATAACAGCCCCCGTCAGGGCCGATTCACACCGGAATGGCAGCGGTCGGCAGCGACGAGCAAAACTCTTTAAGTGTGAAAACAAATTTTAAAATCTATATATCTGAAAGACCAGTATTGCTTGAAACTTTGTGTATTTGTACCAATTAGCGGAGTAGAGTTCAGTCCCCGTAGCATGAGCACCACAATTTTAACGTTTGTTTAACTGCCAAACTCCATAGTAATTTGACAATTGACCGTGATAAAAACGCGTTATTTATCATATCGGTGTACGTTCAATATATAAATACTATAATACAATACGTTAAATATATAATACAATAGCGTTATATCGTTGCCCCAATTTCACAAAATTTTCAGTACCGCAAAAGCTAGATTAGAAGTGCGAATGCGAATTTTGCGGTATTAGAAACGAACCATGGCAGGGCGGGTAATCTCCGCTACGAATAGTAGCATGTTGGTCGGGCGGGCGGAATCACACTCTTAGTAACCAGAGTTGTACAAAATTTATTCAAATTACTTGTGAATTTATTTGTTTCTTAAGTTTCACACACAACACTTTAAATAAACTAAATTAAACACGCTTAAACGGGTTCAAAACGCGTCGTTTTATTACTTTCTGACTTTTCACAGCCTGAAAAGGATGCTATACTATGATGATAGATTTAAACATCTTGCACTTACATGCTTAAATTATTAAAAATATGACGAGAAATTCTATGTTCTATGCTATTTACGTATAAAAAAATATATTAGTGTATTTAATTTAAACCTCATTTAACGATTTACTAATTCGCAAAATCGCAAATTTTGCGGTGTTATACCCTTGCCGCCGAGCAAGCCGCGGTGCGCACTGTCTAAAGCCGCTACTGTGTGAAGGAGCCATTACATGTCCGACACCACAATGTCGCGATGTCTGCTGCTGTATGTATGGTATATGCCTTTGTGTATGCTTCAACAATAAAGTCCCTAGCAATATCCAACAAAAAAGCGTTAATAAATTTAAAGCTGCTATTAAAAAAGTTGTTATATTATTATTATTATTGTATTATGGTTCCTATTTGAATAAATATATAATAAATATACAATTGAATTTAAATTGAATTGAATAGTCAGTAGTTCCTGAGATTAGCGCGTTCAACAAATAAATAAACAAACTCTTCAGATTTACAATATTACTATAGATTTCTAGTAAGATATCGTTTTTGTATAACTGTGTCACGGTATAAAATATATCCCTTGGGGTATAACTATATTACGGGTGTGTCTATCTTACTGCGACATGTATACTATCCGTTACCCTAGTATCCCATAACACAACCCTAACAGGTGCTTACTTTGGGGCATTGGTATGAGTGTTTGTAATATTTATTTATTTACTTTAAGCAATATGAGAGCGGAAAGATTAACTAACTAAATTAATAGGAAGGTTCGTATAATGATAGACTCAAACTGAACCTATGTTTAAATATTTATAGTTATAATAAAACATACAACGACACGGACTCAGCCTATGGGGTATTGGGTATAATATGGTTTGATACAGCCATATCTGCAAGAAATAATTAATTCTGAAACGTTTCTAAGCAATAAATGCCCTTGCTCCATTTTCTTAAGAGTAGCATTTCGTACCATGGCTGGTAATGTCCAAAATTATTATGTTTGTCATGTACATTGATTAATATTCCTAACGCTCGCCCGAACGCCTCGGTTAGATTTAATCGGTTACCGACGTAATTACTTGTATTGGTAATAATGCAAAGCTCACATTTATTATGTAAAGCTTTTGTTATTCCTATGCTGGTGGTTGGTTGCCGTCTGTAAACCATTACAGAAGTACAGCATTACATTTTTGATAATAGCAACAAATAAGATAAAAAAAACAGACAACAACACACATAAATAACTATTCATTACTTTTACGTTCAGATATATAGGCTAGGGCGTATGCCGTTTTAAAATGGTAAAAAGTTAAAAAAAATCAGAACAGTATGAAACTCATATCAAAAGGAAGAGATCACATTAATAATCAGAAAAAATAATAATGGGCGAATTGAGGTCGGGAGTGACCTTTTAAGGGGGAAAACGGTTTATAATGAAAAACATTTCATGGAAAAATTGTAGGTGATATAAAGATCTACCAACTTTATTACATATATATTTTTAGTAGGTTTTTAATATATAAAACAAGTCGGTTATTTTGATATTTCACTTTTAGTATGCAATTGTGAAAAGGGGAAAAAGTGAGCAGTCTTAGAATAAAAAAAAAGGGAAGATACGGCACTAGCGGCTGAAAAGTGATCCGCTTAAATTATGGTGCATGACCATAATTCGCTTTAGTCAAAATTGGACATTCAAACACGCAGCATGTGCACTCAATGTAACAATATTGCGTATATTCTGTGTTATAACAATAAAACAATACTTTTTTAAAGAACCCAAATAGTTCAAAACCAAATAATAAATGCCTCGGCAACACTTTTTATTCGTAAAACTGCAAAAACATTTTTTTCTCAAAAATCACGGTTTGGCGTGAATGTTATATTTACGTAATCGCCATTTTGTTATCAAAAAAAGGAAAACAATACCGTGCCCTTAGCACGAACCAATATCGAATTCGTAACGTTTGCGAGTACGAAATGTCAATGTCAAATTTTGTATGGAAACTTGAACAGCAGCGCCACAAAGTACGTAACGAGAACTGAAAATCAGTACACATTTGACAATGATATATCGTACTCGCAAACGCTCAGCCGTACGGACTCGCCCTTTCGCTCGCACTGCCCAGTTCTGTCTCGCTCGCTCGATTGAATGCTTATATACAGACGTGTGCGTGTGTGAGAGTTGCTTATTTAGTTGAGTCGGATCATATTTTATTTGATGCTAGTATGAGCGTACCGTATCGTATTAGTTTTTTTTGTCTTTTTTTTTTATTTATCGCGTAAATTTTAATACAGTTTTACTACAACTGTTTATTTTTTACAAATGTTGTAGGTATTTTGTACCCTTAAAAGGTCAACCCCTACCGACCCTATATTGCCCGTAATTTATTTTTACTACTTTTTTAATGAGTCGTCTTCCTTTTGGTATGGGTTTCATCCAGTTTCGAATTTACTTGCTCTCAAAAAATATAATGGCACTAGATTAAAATATTCGAAATACCAAGGTTTTACCAAATATTAACTTTTTTGGTGGCCGAAAAAACAATACATATTTTCAATAAAAAGCAAATTGTACTCTTCAAATGTCTTTATTTGCCAAAATAAGTCGCTTACATCTAATTAACAAACTAACAAAAGTGGTTCAGTTTTAGAAATAAGAACAATACAAATGAAACATTGATTTCACTTCACACAACATATTTTCCTTAACCATATTCAGGCACACTGGTTCGTAACATTTTTCTTGAGCATCATTTCAAAACAATCGGGTATAAAAGTTTTGACTCTCGCTTGTCCTTCAATACCACGTGGCGTTGGAACTCGCGCAACTTTAACGATATTTTGAGTAGGTATATAATCTTTACATGAAGGTAATCTTCGTACGAACTTGATTCACTTGCCAGACATTCAAGTTTTCATACTGCTCAATACACGCATCCACCTGAGAAACATAAAATAATTCATGGTTATTTTATATCTAAATAGTTTTTAATCACATTTAATTTATACATAAGCACAAAATATATTTAAACTGTTCTTTTAATTATACAATATAATTTCAAAATAATTTGCTGGACAGGAAACCAGGAAGCTAAAAGCTTGCAAAGCTTTTAGCTTCCTGTCCTGCAATACAGTTTTTTAAAATAGTGCAGATATCAACGCTCCAACCCTATGCCTATTGTTAATACTTACAACACAGCTAAAAATAGTGTATAATCTAAATGTGTAACAATTTAAAAGGAATAAACGTTTATTATTGATGTATAAAATCTTTCCTCTCGCTTTACTGCAATTTGTGGGAGTGATTACGTGAAGTGGGACGGAAGTGTGTAACAGGAAGTTTGGGAAGCGCGCGCTATTTGATTTTCATTTTAGAAAAATAATGTTCAAATGGCTTATTCCTTTTGTAATAGGTTTTTATTTCTTTTTTACTACTGTAAGGCTCGCTTTTTTTTTTATTATTATAAATTATCCTACCTGATCGGGTTTGAATCCCTTGTCGACGCAGCGCTCTATGACGTCCGCTATCTTGACCGTAGTACTAGAGCCGGCCAAATCGCGGATAATCGCGAAGATGCGATCTGTCGAGCTGATGCCCCTGGACAAACGAATTTGACACTAGTAAGATCCGTAAATAATATTTAAACAGACCACTGACAACAATTATAGTGCGATTCAAATAAGAATAGGAAAGCCAATGGCCTCCATCTGTCAAATGTCGCTTTAAAACGGTTTGCAAAACAAATCTTGGAACCCTTTTTTAGCACTCAGCTAATTCTAGAATAAAAACCAAACATTTGTAAACAAACAATAAAAAATATTGATAATTAATATTGTTTGATTTTTTTTTCATTTATTGGGCTTTGGCTATGACTGTTTGATAACCTAAATCTTCAACCAAATGTCACTTAAGTTGAGTTCATAAACTCGATTTAAAACTTTCGTTTACATAAAGGATGCATGTTCGTATGTGACCTAGTAATAGTGCTTGATTATTCATAACTACACCGGCGGTAAAACAGAGATGAGCGGAATTGAAGAGCTAGATTCTGATGAATGTTTTTTCTCACACACAATACATATTATTAAAAAATTTTTTTTTTTATCTTAGTAAATAAATTTTATTAAAAAAAATGTTTTTTCTCACTTAATCTTAGTAAATAAGTTTTATTAAATAATGTTTTTTGGTGATTTTAATACAAGACATCTAGATCAATTGAAAGTTTATTCAAACATTAAGAATTTGGGACTGTGTCAACTTTTAAGCATTTCCTATTGGGACAATATCATCTGTTAGAACTGTTCACTGTTGTACATTACTATCGCCCTGATGTACTTCAAAGTTTGAAATAATTTTGAAAGAAGTTGACATTTTGTGATTTTACATTAGGGGACGAAATTTGATAATAAAATCAAATTTCGGATCACCTGTAAAACAACGCTTTAGGATACATCAACATCATCATGATCAACCTAATTATGTCCCCTCACAGCTGGTGCACAGGCCTTCCCTATGAATGGAATAGGAAGATTACGTGACCCACCACGTGGTCCCAGTGCGGATTGGTGGGTGCTAAAGACTGCAGATGCAGTGCTTAACGCGCCTTACAAAATACGGAGGAGCTCGAGATAATAATTTTTGGCTACCTATCTAATGACCGACCATTGAGAAAAGTTGCTTAATTTCCACGATCGCAGGACAAACGCGCTTACCACCTGCGCCATCGAGCTCCTCACTTCAAGATACATACCTTTGGGTATTATCTTCGACGTGAGTAAGAGATTGCTTTGACATCTCTACGAGGCGAATCGCTTCTGAGACATCTTCTTTTTCGACAACATCGGACAATCTGTAAATTATATAGATTTTTTAAAAGAGCCTTCGGTTCAACTACATAAAAATATTTAAATCCACCAACTAGGTGTTAGTGAAACTTGAAAAAATGAAATATAGACTTGTTTTTTATTTCTAAACAAAATATTATTACCTTAATCTCGCCAAAGCAGTGGAAAGCCGTAGAATCGCCAGCAAATTTCTGGCTGACGTGAAAGTGACGTCACGGGCGTTCCTAGCCTCACGACGGAGTTCCACATACGACGCTGTAAACAATATTGACTGTGATAATATAAAATATTTTCATCGAAAGTAGTCACAGCATATAATTTGAAAACGTCAGATTGTAAAGTGGATAGGACTCCGGCACTGCAAAAAAGCCTATTAGACTACCCAATATTACACTGACTAAAGTTGGTGTAGTATAAGTTCGGGAGTTATGGACCCGATCTAGAGAGATCTCCCTTGCGCCCTTACGCCCCGACGATCGGGTGTGAAATAGCTGTTGGGCAGTCACTTAGCGCGTTCTATCGTATGTACCACGGCGATTGTTCTGAGGAGTTATTCTCTCTTATTCCACCTTCTCCTTTTATTCAGAGGACCACGCGGGCTGGCCTACGTTATCACCGTCTAACTGTGTCCACAATTCCAATGCGTAAAAAGAAATTTGGTCACTCATTTCTTTGTCGCACTATCCGTAAATGGAATGCTCTGCCCGCTCACGTGTTCCCTTCCTCTTACAACCTGGGATACTTTAAAAGAGGCGTGAAGAAGCAACATGCAGCCCGGCAGGGTGAGGATGGCTGGTGTGGCAGGTAAAACTGCTGTATCAGCTATCTTCGCGTCTGGACTTCACCTTTACTAAACATCAGGTCGGGAGGAGTCATTTGTCATGAGTCGACGCTCTGAGAGCGTATAGTACAATAGATTCAAATAAGAATAGGTTAGCCAATGACCTCCATCTGTCAAATGTCGCTTGAAAAGTACGGTTTGCAAACAAAGCTCGGAAAACTTGTTTTAGCACTGAGCTAATCTTAGAATAAATACCAAACATTTGAAAACTAAAGAAAGAAATAAATCATATGAAACGTATAGAAAATGAGTGCAGAAAAAGGCAAATATAAGAACTTTAATTTTATTAAAATACAGGAAATAAAAGGGCTGTTTTTATTTTAAATAAATTTGCCGTTTAAAAACCTATAATAATCGATATTTCATTTTATAGCTGAAAGCAGCAGAGATGATGATGACTACTCCGACGGTAGTGCAGAGATGAGCGAAATTAAAGAGCTACAGCTCTGATTAAAATTTTTCTCACTCAGTCTTAATAAATAAATATTATTCAAAATCTGATATTTTTCTCAATTTATCTTGGTAAATAAGTTTTATTAAAGTAAAACTTATTTGCTCACTCTACCTTACTGGTATGAATTGACAGCTATGACGTCACAATATGTCGGTCCTATTCTTAGTTGAATCGCACTGTATGTTTTTGTAGTTAAATTAGTTTATTGGCGCGATGGCATCTAATATACTCACACACGATGTAATCGGCGAGGACACGCGGCACGACTGGCTGCTTGCGGCGCGTGAGAGCAATGTATCGCCGCACCAGTCTCATTGATAGAACGCGGACCGAAGTAGGCCCTTGGTATTAGTTTATTGGCGCGATGGCATCTAATACTCACACACGATGTAATCGGCGAGTACACGCGGCACAACTGGCTGCTTGCGGCGCGTGAGAGCAATGTATCGCCGCACCAGTATCATTGATAGCGCGCGGACCGAAGTAGGCGGTTGACATTATTTATTGGCGCGATGGCATCTAATACTCACACACAATGTAATCGGCGAGTACACGCGGCACGACTGGCTGCTTGCGGCGCAGGAGAGCAATGTATCGCCGCACCAGTCTCATTGATAGCGCACGGACCGAGGGAGCCAGTTGGCATTAGTTTATTGGCGCGATGGCATCTAATATACTCACACACAATGTAATCGGCGAGGACGCGCGGCACGACTGGCTGCTTGCGGCGCGTGAGAGCAATGTATCGTCGCACCAGTCTCATTGATAGCGCGCGGACTGAAGTAGGCGGTTGACTACAGTGTTGGTGTACGTAAGCTATGTGCTTCGCTAACTCCAAATCCTTCTCCCTGCATATAAACGATTAAGGATCTTAGATTAAAACAAAAAGGGAAGATACGGCACTCGCGCCTCAAAAGTGTTCCGTTTAAATTGTGGTGCACGAACACGCTTTAGTCACAATTTGACATCCAAACCCGCTGCATGTGCACTAAATATAACATTGCACTCATATTGCGTACATTCTGTGTTATAAGGATAAAGGCCTTCGATGCGTTTGAAAAGAACACAAATATGTAGTTCTGATTTTTAGTTCTCGTTACGTACTTTGTGCCGGTGCTTTGCTTTGTTTTGTGTGCTAAGGGTACTGTACCCCTAGCACGAACCATTATCGAATTCGAATAGTTTGCAAACCGAAATGTCAATGTTAAATTTTGTAAGGAAACTTGAAGAGCAGCGGCACAAAGTACGTTACGAGTACTAAAAATTAGTAAACATTTGACAATGACATTTCGGACTCGCAAACGATAGGAATTCGATATTAGTTCGTGCTAGGGGTACTGTTCTGTCTCGCTCGCTCGATTGAATGTTTATTTACAGAAGAGTGTCTGTGTGACATTTGCTTATATAGTTGAGTTGGAGCATATTTTATTTAATGCTAGTATAAGAGTACCGCACCTTCCCTTTTAGTTTTAATTTATGTTTGCGATGGAATAAAATTACCAATATATTGCTTAAACTCTCATGGTCACTAACATTATAGTTATAGGCGGGATTGCTTCTTTATATGTGTATACATCGTGCTTCGGAAGGCACGTTAAGCCGTTGGTCCCGGCTGCATTTGCAGTCGTTAGCACCCACCAATCCGCACTGGGCCCGCGTGGTGGTTCATGGCCCAATCTCCCTATTCCATCCATAGGGAAGGCCTGTGCTCCAGCAATGGGGACATTAATAGGCTGATGATGATGTGTATACCATGTATTTGTAAGTCCCCGATATTCCGCAATCATGGCGCTTGAAACAATGCCGAAATAATGACTGACAAAAAACACACACACACATGTAGCAGTCCCGCTAATATCTATAAACCTACCGAGTTCCCTTCGAATCACATACTTTATTCAATAAATGACACGTTTCGTTACAAACGACTGTCTTCCAGCATATTAGTAATTCAACAAAATAAAAATCACACACATATAAAATTAAACATATCAACGATTAACGGACGCGACGGGTATTCATGCCAATATTAGATAGATTACTATAAATGTAACAGCAGGCAATCAAATTTGCTTTTACCTTTGGTCCGCCTTTTTGAAGTCGGTTAAAACTAAAAATTAGTGGACCAATATCCACTCACCTATTCGGTTTGTCCTGTATGAGCCACAGCAGGTCGAATCTGGACAGCAAAGCGGCCGGCAGCTGTATATTCTGTTCAATTGTCCGTTTTGGATTGTATCGGCCGTAAGCTGGATTCGCCGCTGCCAATATGGAGACGCGCGCGTTCAAACACGTCATTATACCCGCCTGGTATAAAAATTAACAGAAGTTTTATTTCGGTTTAAAAGAATTATTCGCAGTCTAACTAGGATTTAGTATACACCTGTTAAAAACTTTTTTAGCAGTTAAAGAGATAATGAGTACAGAAAATGTTTTATTTGAACACTACCATTTACTGACGAGCAAGGGGAACATAGGATTAGATCGTACGTGAAGGGTTGTGAAAAATAAAGTATTATCCTACACTAGACGACAAGACATTCCATCGAAATTAACATCTCGACACAAAAATAAATTAAGATTGCCTAAACTAAAACTAACATCATCAAGCACATTTAATCATCTATTAAAATTTATAACAAATTGCCAGAGATGTGATTTATTTGAAATACTTCTATTTTAAATGCAAATAGAAAATGCAAAATACCTATTTTATATTTTGTATTTAAATACCTTTCAGTGAAAAGTATTTTGTATTTTATTTGAAATGCCTTTCGAGATGCATTTTGTATTTTTCATATTAATTTCAAAATGCAAAATACTTTGTGATTAAGTTTAGCCAACATTACCAGTCAAACAAAACAAAACGCTTGTATTGCCGAATTCGACCGATAGAGGCGCCTGCTAACCATGCGCGACATTTTTTTCTTCTTTGGTCAAAGTGCTCGCCTTATGTCAAGTAATGTCTGACAAGTGTCAATTTCCAACGAAAACGGCGAACATTATCTATGGCTATGAATTTATGGATATGAAACGTATAGCCGTTGACACCGACGATTTGATTTCACGACGAGTTTATTATTTTCTGGTGCTAATGAAGTAGTTACTGATTTGATTACCTACTTCTCTGATATTGAAGTGTTGTTATTATTTCTATAATACTGAAACGGTTATGTACTATACCTGGAACGGTTACGTACTACAAGATAATTTAGATAATCTAAATAGACGTGACTTGGTGGATTTGGCTGGTGTCTAACAATTTCTACCTGAAGTCCGTCCAGTTTATTGCGCACTGTTAATTGAAATAATAAAGGAAAGTATTCAAAATCGTTTCGAAAAATTTGATTTAGATAACCCAAGATCCAAGGACAGCATTCTGGCAGCAATATCGTATCCATTTTTCAAATTAAAGTGGGTGCCTAAAAATAAGAAGGAGCATCTTAGGGAGTTGTTTATCCAAGAAGTCAGGAAATTTAAAAATGAAAATTTAAAAAGCTGCCTCCTATCAGAGCCATCGGAAAGAAAAAGAGAAAAAAGCGAGTCTTATTACATGTTCCAGGATTCAGATTCCTCGGCAACCAGTGAGGGTGGTAGTGCTAATAATACTACAATAGATCTGGAAACCCTGCAATATTTAAAGGATGAGAACACAAGTCTGGTCTGGATGCTAAATGCTTATCCTACAGTAAAAAAAGTATTTTTTAAATACAACACATCCTTACCAAGTTCAGCACCAGTAGAAAGACTTTGTCGTATGGTGGGATGATAATGAGACCTCACAGAAGAAAAATGAGTGATGATGTATTCGAACAACTGGTATTGTTAAAAAGCGTAATAAATAAACAATGATATTTATTTTTATCACTTTTTAACAATACCAGTCCAATTCCAGTTGTTATTAGTTTTAAAAGTGTAATCAATTGTAATATGTTATTAGACGTTTGTTTTTCGGCTCGGCATTGTGTGTCTCTAATGCTCATGTATGATAAGTTAATATGTACCTATAATAAATAAAAATATCTGTGATTTGGTCAGGGGGTATTTTATTTTGAAAAAGTATTTTGAAAATACCTATTTTGCATTTAGCATTTGAAATACAAAACGCAAAACTATTTAGTATTTTGCATTTGAAATAGTAAATCTGAAAAGTATTTTGCATTTTGTATTTAAATGCTTTTTTAAAACCATTTTGTACATCTCTGCAAATTGCCTAATACAATAATGAAAGACAATAATTACATGACATTTATAAATAAGTTAAAGGAATTTCTAATTAGCAAATGTTATTATAATGTAAATAAATATTTTAATGATAAAATCAGTAATTATTAACATAAATATACAAACAATACTTTTTTTTTCAATAATTTTATTAATTATTATATTTTTTATTGTATAAAACTATTATTATTATTTATAATTAAATCATATAATGATAATCTAATAACAATCCAATTATCGTAATCAAAAATAAGCGAATGAAACAATCTTTATCTTCAAATTATAATTTTAGTGTTGTTCATTTGGGAAGCGTATCCTCTCTTCTAACCAATTGCGTGCCCGACGGGGTCCATAATGCTCATATTTATATAAGTACCTACCACCCACTGTACACCTTATGGTTGCAATAAATTATTTGAGTTTGAGTTTCATTATTACTATCTTAATGTTATTCCACTCAGTTCATGATACCATGTGAAGAATTATCCCTAAACATACTTGTAGTAGCATATTATCAGCAAAATCGCTTTCGTTCATGATAGCAGGTGGTCTATTTATTCATTGACCTTTATATAAATATAAAATACATTTCTCCCGGGTCCATTGTGGTTGTTTACCTTGGCGATGCTAATTGTCTGTTGCTCCATGACCTCGTGTATAGCAGTACGGTCAGCGTCGGCCATCTTGTCGAACTCATCGATACAACACACTCCCTGGTCTGCCAATACTAGAGCTCCACCTTCCAGCATCATCTCGCCGGTAAACGGATCCTGTAATATTTAAGTTATAGTTAATTAGCGCGATGGCTGCGATCGTTGAAGTTAAGCAACTTTCGCTGTGGTTGGTCTTTGGATGGGTGACCAAAAATTTTACTATCTCGAGCTCCTCCGTGCTTCGGAAGGCACGTTAAGCTGTTGGTCCCGGCTGCATCTGTAGTTGTTAGAACCCGCCAATCCGCACTGGGCCCGCGTGGTGGGTCATGGCCCAATCTAGTTATTCCATCCTTAAGGAAGGCCTGTGCCCCCGCAGTGGAGACATTAATAGGCTGGTGAGGTGATGTTATGATAATCACAGAACACAGAAAGAGGTTAAAAGGGCTATGTGAGCGGCGCAGGCACGCCATAGTTATGTGTGAGCAGATGCTCATAAGTTGACCAAAACTTGGTTCTGATTGCGACGTTGCGCTCGGGTGTGAGCACTGATTGGTTCGATTGTTTGATGTCGCGTCGTTTGATTGGCTATTATCTATCAGGTGGAAGTGTAGTGGGGGCAAGCTGGCGACATCGGTTCTCGTACAAACGGTATATGATCAGCCTTCTAACCTCTTTCTGTGTTCTGTGGCCATAATTATCGCTATAACTCCATGTATGAGAATATTCAGGGTATCGCGATGTATGTGACCAAACTTCTGCAAAGACTAGCATTTCATGCATGCATTCATAAATCGTTTGATAGTCATGTTACTACGGCTTCGTGTGATTCACTTGGCTATTCGTATTTTTTATTTGTAAACTTGAAAACTGGCTGTCCGTAAGACACTTTTTAAGGAGTGAAAAGGACAGCCTAATGACAAGTACAAGTTTACAAAATAACAAACACGAATAGCCAAGTGAATCACACGGAGCCGTAGTAACATGAGTATCAAACGATAAAGGCAATATACAAAGGATTTTTTTCTTAAACACTTTCACAGCAGTTGTATAGTCTTTAACTAAGTATAAATTATCCTACGGATGCTAGATAGCGTATAAGTCTACGTAAATACATACAAACATCCATGACAAGTCAAAAATGCACATGTTCATGATCACACAAATATTTTCCCCTCCGGTATTCTTATAATTTCGAGCTTTTCCCAACTTCGGAAAGTATGTTAAGCCGTTGGTTCCGGCTGCTACATCTGCCTATTCCGTCCATAGATAATACCTGTGCCCCAGCAGTGAGAACATTACAAGTAAAAAATTGTTTTTTTCCACCGTTCGTTTGCAGTGCAAGCTGTACATCTATGGAATTCTCTTCCGGTTTCGATAAGACGTGCGGAAACAATTTATACATTTAAAAACCGTCTGAATTCCCATTATCTGACATTGTAATACTTTTCTTTTAAAATCTGATGTGCTTATAACTGACTCCTAACTAAACTAGATCAATGTATGTATTTATACTTATTGTATGTATATATATATTTAAATATCTTATACTTGTATGGTGTATGTATGTATATACTAATATATTATACTAGCGATTGACACCGCCGTCTCTCCCACTTAATTCTAATCCTCTCCATCCAAAGGTTGCCTGGAAGAGATCGCTTTAAGCGATAAGGCCGCCCATTGCATCACCTGTACTAGAAGGTTTTGTATTTAATGTTCATTATTTTTTGTGGTATAGAATAAAGAGTTTTTTTTTAACACCACAATTTCACCACCACATTGCATTGACATTAATAGCCTGATGATGATGATAATGTTAGAAGTCTTCACTTGCCTTAAGTACAGCGGCCGTTAATCCGACGCCGGAAGAACCCCTCCCCGTAGTATACTGGCTGCGAGGTGCAAGTCTATCTATGTAGTTCAACAGCTGAGACTTGGCCACCCCCGGATCGCCCATCAGGCAAATGTTAATGTTACCCCTGATCTTCATGCCGTTGGGACGCCTAGTAGAGGATATTTTAAACGTTTTGTAAATAATGTTTGGGATGTGGTTTATATTTAATTTTTATGTGGTAAACGTAGTGTAGGACGCCTTGAGACAACATGGGATGATGACATTCGTAGGCTGGCTGGAGTGGGCTGGATGAGAGTGGCAGAAAATCGGGAGTAGTGGCGTGCATTGGGAGAGAATATGTCCAGTTTAGTTTAGTTATCTATTTTTTGTTGCTCAACCATCGAATATATTCTATTCAATAGGTAACTAAGTGACAAAGATTCTGTTCATCTTACATTACATTTGAAGAAAAATCTTTACAAATATCATGATTGACTGGACTTATTGACATTTGCCATAGTGATTGAGTAGACGTTATAAGCTGCCATAAACTAAAAATATGACGTTGATTATGAAAGGGTGTCCAGCATCCTTACAAAATTACTTACAAGATTTAAAATAAATCAGAGATAAATAAAATATAAAAAAAATCTGTTCATGTTATAATATAAAACAAGCTTTCAAATGTTTCGTCACTGCCGAAAACCGACTACCACTTTTGAACCATGTCCTTTGTCATTATGTGATCCATTGATTTTTAGTCGTCTTAGATTGACTGTTAGTCAAAATTGTAATGATTTTAAGTTGAAGTTTATCATTATTCAACTATATCGTTTAAAGATAGCTTGGCAAATGACACAAAATTAAATAATAATAATTTATTTCCAATTTGTGTTACAATTGACTATAGGTAACATCGGTAAAACGATTCCCTGGCCCCTATACTAGGAAAAATGTATCATAGAGTACAGTGAGTCTAGCGGTAAATTATGGGTAAAAAGAATACCAACCATCAACATTTGTCGATACTGTATGCAACACAGGTCACAGTTTTATGTGTCATACACAGATTAAACACTAAAACAAGAAATAGAGAGAGAGATAAAAATGCAAGCTAATTTAAGTTTAGGGGTGTGTGTGTGTGTGTGTATGTGGATGTGTGTGTGTGCTCCAAGTTAGTATCTAGTTCTGGGTTTTATTTTTTAACGAGTATTTATTTAACAAGTGCATGTTGGTGATAAATTTCAACCTTTTTATATATATTGTATTTTAGTGAAGGTAGTGAGTTTATAAAATTATCTCCTTATCAGAACAAAGTATGTGATAATGATAACTGTTTACGTACTTATCGACACCGCCCACGAGTAGTAACAGCAGTGCCTTTTTAACATCTTCGTGTCCATAGATCTCCGGTGCGAGACTGCGCGCCATACGCGAGTACAAGTCATCTTCGGCCAACTCCGCGAGTTCCTCCTCAGTCAGCGCTTCCGCCATTTCGCTCTCATCGCTTTGATTCAAGCATGTTACACACTGTCAATCAATACATATAAATTGTTATTAAACAAGTGACACTCGACTTCCGCAGACATTTCTAAAACAATTGGGAAGAAATAATAATAAAAATAGATTATTTCGTTAACCTAACTTTACAATATTATTCTGTGGCCAGAACTACCCAGGAAGCATGTAGTAATGCTTGTGTTGGGCGGTTCTGCTCCTCCCTAAGGTCTTATTCATTTGTTTAGGGTAACTAAATAACTACTCTATATATTTACAAAATAACATATATTTTTTTAAAGGTACAGATATAATTAAATACTGGTATGTGTGTTTGTGTGAGTGTGTGTGTGTGTACTTGTGTGTAGAGCCTATATAATAGGACATTATGTCTGTCCTCTGGCCCTACGATGTAATATCTTGGGTTGGTTAAGTACCACTAGAATTGATTTTACTGCCTAGGATTCGTTTTAAATAACAATTTAGTCCGGGAGGCAGCGGCTATTTTGATTAGTGTTTTTATGCCGATCTTTATTTCACAATACTAGTGAAGAAGCTGTCCCTAATAACGAAAGTGAAGGTCAGCTGACGCACCTGCGGGGGCGCTTGCTATGAGACCCCATAGAACAAGTAAAAAAAAATATATGAAAAATATTTTATACCGCATGAAATTTTTTTCATGTCTTATTGACATTGATTACAATTAAAAGAAAGTAGTCAGTTGCACGACTGAGGGTGGATTATGCGTCAGCTGAGCGTGCGAACTAGCCAAAAAAAATGAAATAAAATTATTTTATGCCGATTGAATTTGTTTTACATGATTTTAGACATTTACAGAAACTTGATATTGATAATCAGCTGCATATATAGTGGGGGAAAACAAGTCAGCTAGAGCAGGAATGTATGACTGCGCGCATATATCTCTATGACTCGCGAAATTTTCAATGCTCCGACTGACGCCTTTCCCCCCAACGGACAATCAGCTGACGAATATTTTCTTGTATCTATATATTAACACTATAATATTTATACATTTCATGTCGTCTTTTAACAATTTACCCAAGATTTACCTTACAGCTTATTGTCTTCCGTACACAGGTATTTTATACCTGCGTTCCTGCGTCCCTCTCCCCAAAAGGGACAGCTGCGTTTCGGCTTTGTTCGTTTATCCCATGGAGCACCCCCACTAGATACAAGGCAAGCGCTTGCGCCAAGCTTAAGTAGCATTTTACCTATGCGTGAGGCACGCCCACAGACGTCGCGATACATCATTTCATTTGGTAACCGAGCGTCGGTCGAACTGCTTCTCTCGTTTTCGTGTTAAAAAATGGTAAAAAAAGCCGTACTATGAAAGTCAATTATGTGGAAAGTGGAGTAAAACTTCCAGTCTTCAAAAATATGGTATTACTTTTCACCGGTAAGTTTAAATACATTACAAAAAGACAAAAATACTCTTATATTAAATTGCTGTTAATTGTATTTATTTTTTGATGAACGCGTTGATGTCTTTGTACATTGTCCCTTTCTCGCATGCACTGCGTCATATATGCTATCCCGGTCTCACACCGACACGTGTATTGCTAGTGACGCAGACGCAGCTCATGTCTCAACCCGTAAGTTTATCGATAAGTTTGTCAGCTATGGAAATGGAAAAAATAAATAAAAAATATTTATTTCATTGTATACAATTGTATACAACAGATGTCATGAGTATACAACCAACAGTTTTTATTTGAGTTCTAACATATCCTACTAAAATTTGAAAACGCGAAAATTTGTATGGATATTTGTTATTCTTTCGCGCTAAAACTGATAAACGGATTTGTATGAAATTAAATGCGCATAGTTTTCGACCTAGATAAAAACAGAAAGATATTAAATACCCTAGATACACCATGAGCACTCAAAATGTGTCCCAATCAAGAAGTGAAAAAGCTGAACTGCAACAACATTTTCTTCGAACGGCATATATCGCCCACCTTTGGAGCCATGCTCACCGTTCCATGCCAACTGACCTGTTGCCAACTGAGTATGGATGGGAAGAATCTGGTGAAAAATATCATTTTAAATGGTTTATGGGTGATCAATTGCCAGTATCCATCACTAGCATCACTAATCTCGACATGAACCCACATGGTATGAAAAAAATTATCTTCTTTTGATTTCTGGCAAATAATATTTACCTACATGATTTTGTTAAATAATTGATTGATATTTTTACAGAGGGCGACGAAACCGAGAACGATGGAGTGTGTGACATAAGCATCGATAATTGTGATGACGGCAGTGATGCAAACGAAGATGATTCATAGAAAAATATTTGTTTGATGTATATTAAGATTTTGATGTTAATTCTAATAAAAATAATCGAATAAAATTACGTTTCAATTAATCCGAATATTACAAACTAATAGAAATCAAATTAATGATGTTACCGCTTCACTCCCATGAATCTTAGGTAAATTGTTAAAAGACGACATGAAATCTATAAATATTATAGTGTTAATATATAGATACAAGAAAATATTCGTCAGCTGATTGTCCGTTGGGGGGAAAGGCGTCAGTCGGAGCATTGAAAATTCCGCGAGTCATAGAGATATATGCGCGCAGTCATACATTCCTGCTCTAGCTGACGTGTTTTCCCCCACTATATATGCAGCTGATTATCAATATCAAGTTTCTGTAAATGTCTAAAATCATGTAAAAAAAATTCAATCGGCATAAAATAATTTTATTTCATTTTTTTTTTTGGCTAGTTCGCACGCTCAGCTGACGCATAATCCACGCTCAGTCGTGCAGCTGACTACTTTCTTTTAATTGTAATCAATGTCAATAAGACATGAAAAAAATTTCATGCGGTATAAAATATTTTTCAGATTTTTTTTTAACGTATTCCGCAGCTTCCCAGTCTCGCATCCACCGCAACTGGACCAGCCGACGATCGATTTCGTCATAAGCCACATGCATTCTGTTTGCCAATAGAAGCAATAAAAAATAAATCATAAATAAATAAATATTTCCAACACTCACACCAATTAGCCTAGCCCCAAAGTAAGCACTATAAGGCTTGTGTTATAGGATACTAGGGTAACGGATAGAATACATATACTGTATATATAAGTATATATAGAAATAATTAAGCATCCATGACTGGAGCACAAATGCTCGCATTCATCACACAAATCTGCCCCCACCGGGATTCGAACCCGGGACCTCTCGAGTGAAACCCGGTGTACAAACCACTCGGCCACGGAGTTCGTTAAAATGCAATGGCATCAGTCTCACTCACGTGCGCCTCCAGGTACGTATCGGACAGCAGCCCCTGCACCATCTGCTTGAAGCCGGCGCTGAGCTGCGGCAGGAATACGCCGGTGACGGCCACGTGGTCGCCGGGCTGCGCGCGCCGCGTGCTCTCCCCGCGGCAGTATACGGACAACTGACGAGGGATGTGCCCCACCGGCACTTGGTCCGACTGCCCCAAAGGAAACGAATAGGTATTGAAATATTTATTAAAACCATAACAAAAATACAATGACAATAGTGATCGATAATAACTGAATTAGTTATAAAACTGTGTCGCAGTTATCAACGCCCACCTCCAGAAATAAATTTTTGCTACAATAATTTAAATCTTAATTATAATTTAATACTATAACTGAAATTAAATGCGTGTTTGTGTCTTATTTGTGTGTGTGTGTCTGTGTGAGAGTATGTATAGCCCAAATTTACACAAGGTAGAGCAAAGATATTAAATATCCTAGATCAACAACATCACGAACTAAATCGTGGCCGAAGCCTGTCCAAAAGGTACATTGGATTGGACGATCCACGGAGCTCCGTAAAATGATCGCGTACTCATAAACAATATATATATAAATAATGCCTTTTATTTAAACATTGAAAGTCACCTTTAATGCGTATTGTATAAGGTCTTAATTAAAACGCTTGCGTTAAAGAGTTACGATAGTTGAAAATTCAAGCTCGTAAAATTTTACGACTTATTACTTATATGCGAAAGAATATAAACCTTATTTCTGTGACTCCACGCGCAATTCTGAATGCGCTGTTAGCAATATAGCAGGTACGGACCGCGAAGAAAAGAGACAACTATACAGGGTGTTACAGAATTCCGAAATAAAATTTGTAGGTATGTATTCCGAAATAAAAATTTGTAGGTATCTGAGCGGGGCGCAGGGGCGCCTGGGGGAGTGAGGGGGGTCTGTATAGGTAGTAGTAATCGTACGCATTTATAGGCTTGTCATAGGCAGGTGTAAAACTATGTTTTTAATAATTTAATTAGAAAATAAAAGTGGTCTAAAAGGCGTCAAACTTTCGTAGGTAATTCTATACAAGGAACACAACCAAACCCTAAAGTTTTATTTCGGACTTTTGTCACACCCTGTATAACCGACCATGCATTTGAATATCACAAATATTTTGTATAAAATCAGTTTATAGTATGAGAACAAAATCTGCTTCAAATGCGTTAAATTAACCAACATTTATTAGATACCTGTCGAAAAAAGGACAATTTATGTACTATAAGTCATCTTGACTTTTCAACGGTCCGCGCGTAACTGTGAACCAAGAAGTCGTCGTCGTGTCAAGCACTTCTTGATTGGAACACATTTTGAGCACACTTAGTGTTTTTAATATCGTTGAGGTAGAGGCAAACTTGAGCAAATCCACTAACAAAATAACTTGCGCAGTAAACAAGAAGTTTTTTATGTAAAATTGCTACTGCGCCAGCTTTCTTATCTATGGTCGTTGCTCAAGAAGTTTGCTGGAGTGTTTGCATGATACAATGTCAATGCAATAAACACCCTCTCACAATGTTTACCCTTTAAAATACAGAAATTATTAACGTTAAGCAAAAATATTTATTCTGTCAATGTAATCCATGTGTAGTATGTATGAAAGTACAGATATGAAATTTTATGCACTTACATAAAAATCAAATGCTCAACCATAATCATGAAAAAAAAGTTACAAGGTCTTGTAAAAGAACATATTATTATTGTAACTCCATGGATTTTTTTTTAAATAAATGATACTGTATCATGAAGAATAAATTTGAAAAAATATATTTTCTTATGTGCCCCAGCTGTGGGAAAAAAATAATAGGTTGATAATGATGATGAATTGTGAAGAAATTGAATCAAATTAAGTTACTTGTTATTAAAAGTTTACTCACGTGTTCCTGTATCTTCAACTCTTGGAACTTCTGGAACCTTGAGCCCCTCGTCTGCAGATGCAGCCGTCCAGACGCCTTATTGATTCTGCACTCGTCAGCCGAGCAAGCGGGCGGCGGCGTGAACTGCAGCCCGCGTACTGGCTGATACGTCTCCGCGCCGCACGCGCTACAAGAATACGTAGCCACCACCAACAGGGGCTTCACGTCCGTACACCGAGTCACTATGCCTAAACAAGACAACATAGATCTATACTAATACGTGAACTGCAGCCCGCGTACTGGCTGATACGTCTCCGCGCCGCACGCGCTACAAGAATACGTAGCCACCACCAACAGGGGCTTCACGTCCGTACACCGAGTCACTATGCCTAAACAAGACAACATAGATCTATACTAATACGTGAACTGCAGCCCGCGTACTGGCTGATACGTCTCCGCGCCGCACGCGCTACAAGAATACGTAGCCACCACCAACAGGGGCTTCACGTCCGTACACCGAGTCACTATGCCTAAACAAGACAACATAGATCTATACTAATACGTGAACTGCAGCCCGCGTACTGGCTGATACGTCTCCGCGCCGCACGCGCTACAAGAATACGTAGCCACCACCAACAGGGGCTTCACGTCCGTACACCGAGTCACTATGCCTAAACAAGACAACATAGATCTTTACTAATACGTGAACTGCAGCCCGCGTACTGGCTGATACGTCTCCGCGCCGCACGCGCTACAAGAATACGTAGCCACCACCAACAGGGGCTTCACGTCCGTACACCGAGTCACTATGCCTAAACAAGACAACATAGATCTTTACTAATACGTGAACTGCAGCCCGCGTACTGGCTGATTCGTCTCCGCGCCGCACGCGCTACAAGAATACATAGCCACCACCAACAGGGGCTTCACGTCCGTACACCGAGTCACTATGCCTAAACAAGACAACATAGATCTATACTAATACGTGAACTGCAGCCCGCGTACTGGCTGATACGTCTCCGCGCCGCACGCGCTACAAGAATACGTAGCCACCACCAACAGGGGCTTCACATCCGTACACCGAGTCACTATGCCTAAACAAGACAACATAGATCTTTACTAATACGTGAACTGCAGCCCGCGTACTGGCTGATACGTCTCCGCGCCGCACGCGCTACAAGAATACATAGCCACCACCAACAGGGGTTTCACGTCCGTACACCGAGTCACTATGCCTAAACAAGACAACATAGATCTATACTAATACGTGAACTGCAGCCCGCGTACTGGCTGATACGTCTACGTGCCGCACGCGCTACAAGAATACGTAGCCACCACCAACAGGGGCTTCACGTCCGTACACCGAGTCACTATGCCTGAACAAGGGGCCATCTTTCGGAAATGCTTTGGAAAACGCTAACACTTACGATTTCATTTTGTTATTTCTAGCCGCCAAAGGTTTTCAAATGCCTCGCGCTCTTTTTTTTTGTTTTACATTGGTAATAACAATATTAAAAAAAAATGAGCGTGAAGTATTTAAAAACCTTCGGCGATCAGAAATAACAAAATAAAATCGAAAGTCTTAGCGTTTTCCAAAGCATTTCCGTTAGGCGAATGACCCCAGGCATACCTATACTAATACGTGAATTGCAGCCTACGTTTTGCCTTAACCGTCTCTGCACAGCGGCTTCACAAACACTACAATATAGCATGGTATCTGGACCGAGTGGAATTTTTTATAGTAAAAAATTTCTTCTGATTGCATTGCGATTCGATGCGGATGAAGTCGCAACTTAGCGTGCAGGTGCTTAGTCTGTGTCTGGTAGGTCGCAGGAAATCCCTGAATCTAAATAAATGGCTAAGCCTACAGCTACGCAACATAGCGTGGTGCAGAGGGCGAGCTTCCTTAATGCTTAAAATTTTCCCTGGTTTCAGGTATCAGGCAGAACATAAGTACAATAACGTTATGTTCCATCCATATACATAGATGCCAAAACTCCACCTATTTATAAAGATAGGGCAGTCAGTAATACTTGCTATCCTAGCAAAAGTTAACTTAGCTATTTGTATTTGCTATTTGTAAACTTCACAGCATATCTGTCTGTCCTTATAGTGCTTTATAAGGAATGCAAAAATGAATCAAATTTACAAATTTGTATTTAAATAGCCAAGTGAAGTGCCGGCATAAAATAATATCTGTTACCAACCTCTTACTGTAACTAGTTTGCCAATATGCTCTGCTTTAACTTCTCTGATAGGTACTGATTTGGATGAAGACATATCTTTGAAATACACTTCACTGAAAATAAATACATTTCAATTTTAGACAAATCCATAATATTATGGCTAGGCAGTCAAATAAACACAATCGAGGCAGGTGTACTCACAATCGCCTGATGAGCTCTGGCGGATATCTATTCCTAGGATCCCTCATTTCGCCTGGGATCCTGTGATTCCTCGCTTCTAACATAATCCTGTGTTCAATATACACATCTAGAGCATCCTTGGCCACAACCTAAAGTAGAAAAAGGATACAGAAATTCAAAATACTACACAATTAGTAGCTTCACGACTTACACAAGTGCTTGTAACAGCCTAGACTAAATAAATAAATTTTGATTTTGATCTTGATCTTTATTACAGTCATCTTTATAACCAAAAAAAGCAGTATAATGTGGAAAACATATGATAAATTTTAATATAATTTGTACTTAAATTTATAATTTAAGTTTTCCAATAAAATTTTATATACAGTGGATTTCACTTATTACGACCTTGGATGTAGCGACCATTTACCTATAGTGACGTTAAATCTAAGTTCCTTGAAGTTAAAGCATACTTTAGTACAAAAGTACAAAATTCATGTGGCTATAGCAACTTTGGATTTAACGCTGAGTTCGGGTGTAGAGACTGTTGTTAATTTACAATGGCAGTTCTATTGACTTTCTTATCTTTTGTTTACATCCGCACAGATGGTCAGCAATTGTGGTGACCTTTTGTTTATAGTTATTAGCTAGGGACCCATACTATGCAGGTAATCCTGTACGTTTTGCATTTAAAATGATTCAGTTACAAAGTGATATTCTGAGTGACAACTGTAACAACTGGACTTTTGAATAAGTATGGCTCCTAGACGCTAATTCACTGTTAAATTCAACAATATCTACGATGTGGAAAATCAGTGATAAAATATTAAAATGCTTTGAATCAAAATCTTTGAAAATTAAGAAAAAAGAAGCTGTTATTCCATCACATACGACGCTTAATGAAGAAAGTGAGGAGAAAGAAGATTGCAAAGAACATGAGATTCCTACTACTAAAGATGTTTTATGTGTTGTATCTAAGTTCAAAAGATAGTTTATTTGGTGATGGAAAGGATATTATACACATTAAACAAGTAATGAAAATATGATATGCCCTACAATGTGCACTAGCTCAAAAAACTAAATTAAAGCAAAGTAATATTACCTACTGCATGTGGAAATACTTTCGATAATAAATGAATGTAACTAAACTGTGTGTGTTTGTATACCTATGCCTGTTACGACTCCCGGATATAACAATGAAATTACCCGGTCCCTTCAATGTCGTTATATCCGAAATCCACTGTAATTAAATAATTCATTATCAAAGAATAATACATAAACAAAATATAAATACAACTTTGAACAATAACAAATGACGATGTTACCTCTCTATGCTTGTAATTCGGCAACAACTCATAAACAACATCAGATACCATGTTGGTATAGCGACGAGTATTATGTTTTACAGCTTCAGACAATTCTTCGTTCACTTCGTGCAAGTCATCCAATTCAACTATGAAAGCCATCTGAAAAGTAAGTATGTTTACAATAAAACAAAGCTTTGCAAACAATACCTTACGACTTTTAACCTAAAATGTAAAATTACCTGCTCTCTATGAGCCAACCTTGTTAGTTGGTCTGCGTATTTGAAGCACTTATTGCCTTCATCATCAGTCTGACAAAAATCTATGAAGAAATTCTTGAAGGATTCTGCAACAGAATGAATGGAAAGAGATACAGTAGGTATAATTTATTGGACATACAAAAACAAGATAAATAAATGGTTTAACTAATTCAACAAACCTTTATCGGCTGCATAGTCACGCATAGCCATTTTGAAATTATATAAACCTTAAGCAAGTTAAATTTATGAACTACTTTTAAAATTATTGTTCAATATTTTTATGAATATAATTCCGGCAACAAGGAAAGAAGCAAAAGCAAAGCGCCGCCTTTTTGACACTGACATACAGAATTTGGCGCGAAAAAATATTTATTTAGTTTTTTTTTTTTGGTTAAGTTCTCCCTTTTCAGGGAAGGTAAGGGGAACAGTGCCCATACAGCCTAGTCTTAAGTTAAATTATTCTGTTTTTCTTTTTACATTAGAATGTCGGTGTGACGCATTCTAATGTTTCTTGAAGTGTTTGGCACGAAATGTATCGAGCTGGCTTTTTCGATAAGCTTCTGTGAGGTAGTCAATACTACAATAAAATTCTCACGTCCACTTCATCGTAATAGCGTATATTTTGACGATTCTACTAATTCTTCACTGACGCAGACAGTTGTAACACAAAATCACACCAATTTTATTTCACAATATCCACTATGAACGAATTTAAGAATAATTAAAATAAGACGCCAACCACACTCGATGAAATCTCGCCAAAAACTCCCTTTTGTTTTTTTTTGGTCAATTTGTCCGTGTGGGGAGGAAAAAGGATTCTGAGTCCATACAGCCCTGTCTGTAAACCTTTCCTCCCTAAAGTGTTTTGACAGTAGCTTTTACAAATTTGTATAAAGGAATGTAGGTGTCGTTATTTTGTAAAAGTTTTCTCAAGTCGCGCGGGATGGTTTCTTCGCCAAAAGTACTTCGAAGGTCTTGAAGCAGCAAATTTCTCTGTACTTGAAATGAACAGTAAAAGAAAAAGATCCTGGATCATAATCCAGGGCCTGATTATCTATGCTGTTTTTTTTTTTGTTTACTCTTCTTGTTAGGGCGGGCAAATGATTCAGAGCACGTTCAGCCTCGTCTATATTATTTTTTATATTGATCTTCCATAAGGAGGGTAACGGGGACTTAGTTCATACAGCCACATTTTTAGTACATAGGTATTTGGATCGATTTATATCAAGGTTTCATTTAGTAGTTAGACTAACGCGATAGAAATAACATGCAAAAATATACGAATGGTGTGATTTGTATTCGGATAATTCAGCATGCGAATACAAATCTAAATTCATCACAAAGAAAGAGATTTTAACAAAAGAAAAGGTTTAGGCTGTAAATATCCTTTTCTATTTTTTTTACCTAAACGTCAAATTGACAGTGACATATTATGTTATTATTTTCGCGCCATTTCATAAGTCTGCGGAGAATATTTTGTAATTTATAAATCCCTTTTTTATGTGCGTTTTTACGTGTTAATTTATGAAATTATGGCCGACTCTATTGGTTAGTGTTTAGTAAACATGTTTCCAAAAAGTATTTCTTTCTCTGTGTAATTATAACATCTAGCTTTATTTTTCAGCCGGACAAAGGGCTAAGCGACAAAAAGTTGATAAACACGGTCGTTTATCAGCTCTGGAAAAGCTGAAGCAGCTAAAAGGAAAAGGCTCCAAGCATAAGTATGATGTTGATGAACTGGAAAATGTGTATGAGACTGTTGATGAAAAAGAATACACAGAACGAGTGTTACAACGACAGGAAGACGACTGGATAGAAGACGATGGTAAATAAATTATTGAATTGTTTGTGGGTCGGTAATCCTGATTGTGAAAGTGCATTCATACTAATATTTATTACATACTTTAAATGTATGTACTAACTATTTATTTGTTTTGCCAAACATCTGGTAGGTAAGGATTTTTGATTAATTTTAGTATAGATAAATAAAAGGGAAACTCAGGGAGGATCTTAGGATGATAAATTAGAGGATTGAAGAAATTCAATTAGGGATAAAATGTTGTAATAAAATCATTATTTAACACGTAACATAAAATAATTATTCACTTACTTAAATGAAAATATTTATATGACCTTGTTTTGTAAACTTGAGTTATGAATAGTTAGGTAAATTATAAATTAGGAACTGTCATAAGCCTACCCCTTGTCCAAACCTGTTGGTAATCGGGACTATACAATACTAAATTAGACATCAGTATTTATATAATCTTTCTGCCTATTACATCCATAGAGATGCCCTGTGTTCCAACAGTGGAGACATTAATAGGCTTATGATCATGATGATGATGAATCTTCTGCCAATGGTTTCCCCAAAATCAATCTTACACTAACATTACTTTTATGTACTTATAGATGGTACAGGCTATGTAGAAGATGGGAGAGAGATATTTGATGATGATGAGATTGAGGATACATATGTGGCTGTCAACAATAAAGACTCCAATCGAGGCCAAAAAAGAAAGGCTAGGGTGGCAGCTGAACCCTCGGTGAAAGGCAACATAAGGAACCTGCTCGGTGCAATGCCATCAAAGAAAAAAGAGGTTTATCTGAACTTTCCAAGTTTTTTTAATATGTAATAATTATATCTTTGTTTTTGATCTTGATTTCTTATTACAGATTTAGTGAATTGAAAAGAGAATGAGGATTTGACATGATTTTGTATCAAATCCTAAATCAACGAACCATATATAAGTCTATGTTACATATATTTAGTATAGTTAGTGGCATACTTTTTGAGCTAAAACACATATAAATTAACTTGAGCAGTAGACGTTTTGTATGTAATATTTCTGCTGCGGCTTCCTTGTCTATTATTGATGTTGATACAATTGAATTTTACTGGGGTGCCTACCTGTAATATTTTCACTAACACATATTAACACTTACAGGATGTAAAACTGTCTGATGACAATATTTTATCAGATATCATGTCAGATTTGGATGGTTCTACTGCTGCAATAAAGCCAAAAGCTCTGTTACCCCGCAAGAGTAACATTGTCACATCAACAAAGAAGGAGGCTCAAAACTACTTCAAGAGCTTGTCGACTGCTGTGAAAAAACCCACTGCAGTTACCACATCTAACCCCCCATCTGCTGCTGTGAAAAGTGAGGTAGTTTACCATTTAGTTATTAAATTCCCTTAAAGAAGTTTTACTTATAAAATTCCACTTGGTGTAGGTATTGAACCTGCAACTTCCTAACCTCCAGGATAGCAGAAGGTACTGTTCTGAATCTTGCCTGATACCAGGACTGTGAAATTTTCTAGTAAATATTTTTTTATAGATAGGACTGACAAATGACCACCCCACCTGATGTTAAGTGATGGTGAAGGCGAAGATAGATGGTACAGCAGTTTTTTAGTCTTTCGATTTATTATATCAAGCAGTATAATGTTTACAATAAAAATTATTATAACTTTAAATTTTATTGTATTGTTATCACTAAACAAAAAAGTCTATCTTCAGGATGTCAACAATGAAGCAACCAAAGAAATTATTGAGAATAAAAATGAAAATATTGTAAAAGATGATTGTGCAAAACCAACCAGTAACCTTAAAACTGCTAAGTTTAATGAATGGAAGATAGACAAGGAAATAAAACAAGAAATTGATGATTCAGCAACGCAGAACATTGAGGAGTTCCAATCTCAGGATATAGATTTTGGTGACGATTTCAGCAATGATTTAGCTCCTGTCATTGCTGCAGAAAAAAAACTTATCCCTACAGATAAAGCCACTGAAGTTAAAAAGGAAGCCATGCCTAATTCAAGTAGCACTATCACAGATATGGCAGAGGAATTTCTAAATGAAGATTTTGATATTTTCCCAGCAGAGAAAAAAGAGTCGCCCAAGCAATTGAAGCCTCTTTCAAGCACATGGTCGGATCAAATGAATGATAATCAAATACCAACTTCTGTCCAATCAGACGGTCAATTGCCTCTGCAGACCAATGAGAATGGGGAAAAGGTTCTCAGATTCTACTGGCTGGATGCATGGGAAGACAGATTCGTGAAACCAGGAGTAGTATATTTGTTTGGCAAAGTTTATGCCAATCCAGCCAATAAGAAGGAAGGCGGTCTTTCATGCTGTGTGGTTGTGAAGAATGTCAATAGGCAATTATTCTTATTGCCAAGAGAATATGTAGGTATATTTTATGGTAAAATATTTCTTTCTGAAGGCAACTTTTTGAAATAGTTCTACTCAGAAAAAAAATCTGACAACAGTTTTAAGATATATTTTATCTGTGGTGTAGAACTGCCAAAAGAAACTGCACAACATGAAAAAGCACTCTGTTGTTAGTCTGAATACACGGTTTTAGGAATACAGTGGTGTCCGATGATGTCATGATTCTCTAAAGCTTAACTTAAATTGGCAACAGTGTTTCTCTGTAATTCTCTATACAGAATGAAAAGGACAGACTGATGTTAAATTTAGTTTTAAGTTTAGGGAATCCTGTCAGAATCGACACCAGTGTCTTTCAACCCAAATATTTTAGGCTATCCTGCATGACTATCTATGTCTAGAAATGAGATATTTATAATGCTTATCTGGAAGAGGTCGATGGTGCAAATGGCTAGCGCGATTGACTGCAATCGTTGGACTAAGGCAACTTTCGCAGTGGTCGGTCATTGGATGGGTGACCAAAAATTTACTATCTCGTGCTCCTCCGTGCTTCGGAAGGCACGTTAAGCCGTTGGTCCTGGCTGCATCTGCAGTCGTTAGCACCAGGCACAGCGTTGTGGGTCATGGCCCAATCTTCCTATTCCATTCGTTGGGTAGGCCTGTGCCCCAGCAGTGGGGACATTAATAGGCTGATGATGTTAATAAAATCTAAGAAAGGATACTCTTAAAGGTAAACATACAATTTTAGTAACAAAAAGATTATAATGAGAAATAATTTTATTTATAACTTCTGGTTTTTTTGTATCATTTTTGAGCAATTTTTTCACAGACGTTTATACTCAAATTAAGTATAGTGATAAAAATATATCTTGCAATTGCTTTCAGAAATTAGACCCAGTTACTTTAGAAGCCACTGACCAAGAAGTAACTATGATGGACCTCTATGAAGAGTTTAACAGCTCGATAGCCAGCGATTTGGGTTTGAAAGAATTCAAATCACGAAAAGTTACAAAGAACTACTCATTCAACTTGCCTGATATACCGGCACAATCGGATTACTTAGAAGTCCGTTATTCTGTAAGTTTGAAATAAATTTGTTTGCTTCTCATCAGTGGTATTTAGAATAGAATAGAATACTCTTTATTTGCATTAAATAGGGTTGACAAAAGGTTTTTGCATAATAAAGCTAAGAATCTTTAACCTATTTAGCCATATTTAATATAGCATGCAAAAAATAACAGTCATATTACATGTACCTATCATTCATTTAATAACAAGTATTTTATAATTTAAATTCAAATTTATGTCAGTATTAATTAAAATTCCCAATGTCAGTTCGAAATAAAATATTTTATGTCAATTTAGTGTCATATACCTATAATAAAAATTTTTTTTCAGTATGATAATGTAAGAGTATTATTCAATTCAATGTCAATATTATTTATGATTTAAATTCAAAATAAAATTAATCCAAAATCGACTTCCATTTCAATATTCAAGACTTATTTTAAAAAAAATCCTATACAGAATAAAAGCATTTATCCAATAGCCAATTGTTAGTAGGCGTTAACTAAAATCGATCTTGCAATTATTTCAGGCTACTTTCCCCTCTCCACCTGTTGGTAAACAGTATTTAACGTTTTCTCATATATTCGGCGCAAATACATCTTCTCTAGAAACTTTCTTGCTGGAACGAAAGATAAAAGGTCCATGTTGGCTAGAAATCAAACAACCAGAAAATGTGCTAGCTAAAGTGTCTTGGTGCAAACTAGAGGCTGCCTGTGATAAAATCGAAAATATATCCGTCATCAGGAATAATTCTGAACAATTGGAACCGCCTCCTATAGTGGTTGCTACAGTAAGACGCTTTTTTACAAGTTTTTCAACATTTTATTTCACATTGTATACCCGTTTAATACCAATTTATGAATGTTTAGATCAATATGAGAACCACAAGTGATGCTAAAACAAGGAAAACGAAGATATTAATGATAAGCTGCTTAGTACATAATAGTTATCCGATACATAAACCACCGCCAAATCCACCCTTCCAACAACACTTCTGTAGTAAGTATTGATTATTCATCATTATCAGCCTATTAATGTCCCCACTGCTGGGGCACAGGCCTTTCCTATGGATGGGATAGGGAGATTGGGCCAGGACCCACCACGCAGGCCTAGTGCGAATTGGCGGGTGCTAACGACCGCAGATGGAGCCGGGACCAACGGCTTAACGTGCCTTCCGAAGCACGGAGGAACTCGAGATACAAGATTTGGGTGACCAAAAATCTTGTCCAATGACCGACCACTACGATAGTTGTTTAACTTCAACGATCGCAGCTAACCACCTGCGCTATCGAGCTTCTCAGTATATAAATATGTATTGATGATTGCCCAGTTATATTTTGATTATCTTTGCATTAGCATATTAATAATTCCCTTTTCTTTTCACAGTAATGACAAAATGCAATGAAATTTGGCCATTAGACCTCAAACAAGCTCTATCTCAATACAAGTCAACAAAACTTACGAAATGCGACTCTGAAAGAGAAATGCTGAACTATTTTATGGTCCAGTTCTGGAAACTGGATCCAGATTTAGTTGTAGGTCACGATTTGCAAGGATTCCAACAAGATTTGCTAATCGGAAACATTTTAGACTTGCACATATCTAACTGGTCACGTCTAGGGCGTCTCAAAAGATCTGTCGCCCCTCAAAGAAAGTATGCGGCCAAAGACGCATTTTTAGGACGCCTCGTTTGCGATATTAAACTATCAGCCATGGAATTAATAAGAGCCAGAAGTTTCGACCTCGACACCTTGTGTACAGACGTCTTAAAAATGAAGGAAGGCGAAAGAGTAGATGTAGCTTTAGAAGACTTGCCGAGGTATTACGAAAATAGTGGGGACTTACTACAGTTGGTTTCACTGAGTATGCAGGATTGTTCTTATATTTTGAAAATAATGTGTGAATTGAATGTTATTCCGTTGGCCCTACAAATAACACAGATCGCGGGTAACGTTATGTCTCGCACTCTGATGGGTGGTCGCTCGGAGAGAAACGAATTTTTGTTACTACACGCCTTTACAGAGAAAAATTACATTGTGCCCGATAAAATGTACGGGCGTAATAAGACTGTTGAGGCTGAAGAAGATCATGATGACAAAGATGAAGCGACCACTAGCAATGTCTCAAAGAAACAAGGGAAGAAAAAAGCTGCTTACTCTGGTGGATTGGTCTTGGATCCCAAAAAGGGGTTTTATGATAAACTTATCCTACTCATGGACTTCAACTCACTATACCCAAGTATCATTCAGGAATATAACATTTGCTTCACCACTATCAAGAGAAAAAGCACAACGACTTCTGATGATGATATCGCAAATTTAGTTCTACCGGGCCCTAAAGCAGAGTTCGGTGTACTTCCTACGCAAATCAGAAAACTAGTAGAGAGTAGGCGAGAAGTAAAAAAACTTATGAAATCACCTGATCTACCGCCGGACCAATATATGCAGTACAATATAAGGCAAATGGCTCTTAAATTAACTGCCAATTCGATGTACGGCTGTCTCGGTTTTACACATTCGAGATTTTATGCTAAACCACTGGCAGCATTAGTCACTATGAAAGGAAGAGAGATATTGATGGACACCAAAGAAATAGTCCAAAAACTGAACTATGATGTTGTATATGGAGATACGGACAGTTTGATGATCAACACCAATATCTTAGATTACGATTACGTATTTAAAATCGGCAATGACTTGAAAAGAGAAATCAACAAAAAGTATAAACAAATAGAACTTGATATCGATGGAGTATTTAGATACTTACTGCTTTTGAAAAAGAAGAAGTATGCTGCCGTTCTCATAAGTAAAAATAAAAATGGCGAGTTTGTGTTCACTCAGGAACATAAAGGTCTAGATATCGTGCGACGAGATTGGTCGCAGCTAGCGGCCGAAGCTGGCAAGTTCATATTGAGTCAGATACTCTCAGAGCAATCAGCTGACGAGAGATTAGAAAGTATACAAACACATCTCAATAAACTCAAAGATGACCTTATGAGTAACAAAATTCCTTTATCTCTGTTAACTATCACTAAACAACTTACCAAAAACCCTAACGAATATGCTGATAAGAATTTACAACCCCATGTTCTGGTGGCTTTACGACTCAATAACAAAAATAGTAGAAGATTTAAAAAGGGAGACATTGTTCCCTATATAATTTGTGAAGATGGTACCGACAGGTCGGCGGTACAGCGTGCTTATCACATAGAAGAATTAAAGAACAGTGAATCTCTTAAAATTGACAACAGATACTACTTAGCACACCAGTTACATCCAGTTATATCGAGGATATGCGAACCAATAGAAGGAATGGACCCCGCTCGAGTTGCAGACTGCCTCGGCTTAGATCCATCCGGATACAAACACATCATAAAGAAAGAGAACCAAAACACAGAAACGTATGAAGTGGAAAACGAGCAGGAAAAATATAGATACTGTAAAGAGTTCACATTCGTGTGCATCAACGAGAAATGTAAAACAGTGAACAGAGTGAAAGAAACATTTGTAAAAATCGACAAAGAGAATGTATCGTTTTTGGAGAGGTGTCAGAATGATAAGTGTTCGATAAGGCCTATGGATTATTTGGCGTGTATACAGAATCAGTTGACCTTGCAGATTCGTCAATATCACGCTCAGTATTACAGTGGTTGGTTATCTTGCGAGGACCCCGCGTGTGATTACCGCACTGCAAGGTTACCTCAAACCTTTGCCGGCGGGTACCCTCTATGTAGACAATGCGAAAAGGGTGTAATGTTCCGAGAGTATACTGAGAAAGATCTCTATCTACAAATAAACTTCTTCTTTTTCTTATTCGATTTGAGTAAACCTAACAACTCGAGTAAGTTTAATTATTTCTTTTATTTCAATTATTTCACGGCATACAAAATTTTAATTATGTTGATTGACATTTACGAGTATGATAAATGCAAAAGTTGTTTTAAATAGGTATTTATCATTTAGTTTGTATGGTAAACAATGGACATAAAGTTCATTATGCTATGCAAAATTTCATTTTCATTCCACTCTGCGGCGGTATAAATTGAGCCTTACAATCAACTACGATCTCCGTGGCCGAGTAGTTTGTTCGCCGGGTTTCATGGTGTCGCTGACTCGAGGGTTCCCGGGTTCAAATCCCGGTGGGGGCAGATGTTTGTGTGATGAATACGAGCATTTTTACTCCAGTCATGGATGTTTAATATGTATTTTCTGTAAAAATATACATATATATGCACAGTATATGTATTCTATCCGTTACCCTAGTATCCCATAACAAAAGCCTTATAGTACTTTGGGGCTAGGCTAATTGGTGTGAGTGTAGGAAATATTTATTTATTTAATGCTGAAGTGATTAAATAGAAATCAATGGTCATTAAAAAATAGGTAATATTTTTTTCAGTGTTTCAGTGCCTTAAGACAATGTTTATGTATTTTCAGAACTGAAAGTATCTTCACAATTGGCGTTGGCGTTCCAATCTTTGAAGGAAATAGTGGAGGACTGGCTCACCCACTCCGCTTACTCTATAATAAATCTCTCCAAATTGTTCAGATTCTTCACACTCGATCCCAAATCAGGAAACAACGAAACGTCCAATCCTCAAGTAGAAATAGATATTTTGCCTGAGACTGAACAAATAGACGCATTACTGGAAATGGGTGTTTACTAAATGTGTATATTTTAATATTTGACCTTTTTAAGATATCATGTTACATTGTATATTTATAAAACAATATTTTCTAAATAAAAATCGCAAACCAAACTATTGAGTTTATTTCATTTTGGGTCCCGTACCCAAAAGGGTGACGTAGCTACCCTGTTTCTGAGCGTCCGCTGTGCTCAGGATTTTCCGTAGTTACATGGTTGAATTTTCCAGAATATAAATGTCTGTTCATCTGTTGCCACCACAACAAGAAATATTGATATTATATAATGATATTTTTTCGGTGTGCTATTCAACCTGAATAATCGCTGTGTCCTGAACGTGAAGTATGTACGTAAACTCTGTATACCTACGGGTCACTGTATACCTATTATATAACGCCAGGTTACGATTATGCAATTAACATATGGTTCATTATGCAGTGCACAATTTTGTTGCAAAACTTAAATTCTGTTTCATTCCACGATGGTATAAATTGAGTCTGTCTGTCCCATACAGAAAGTAATCACTCCATATAAATACCAGGCGAGGATGAATGTATACTTATAGATAGATGTAGCGCATCTACTAGAGTAGATGTTGATCAGGTAATTAATCTGATATCTCGAGCTGGCAGCCACCTGAGAAAGCCGGGAAACAAGAGGTGCTCTTTTATTTCCTGTGACCATCTTGTTCCAGCTGCGCCATACCTGAATCTTTGCTCGATTCACACGAGGCGATTTTTGTTCATCAACTTCTAAATCGCATGCGATTTGACCCTTCTAAACAGGGTTTAAATCAAATTAAAGCAATAGAAATCGATTCAAATTCATTAGATTTAGTCACCTTTCAATTTTTGTTGATTCAAGTCTCTTTTTAAAAGCGATTTCAATTATATGTCTGCAGCATAGATAAATGATTGGTGTCGGTACGCTATGGTCTGCAGCAAGCTAATGTGTGAATATTACAAGGTTAGGTGCAATAATAAAATGTCAGCGTAAGTAAAATACAATAACTCTTTCTAGAACTATACCACACGATTGTAATTCTAAGATATATAAAAATGTGAATATTCGAGATTCAAAATGATCTTCGTAAAACATCACAAATACAGTGGTCATCATAAAAATAAAAACCAACCACCAAACCCCTTCTAATAAAAACCATCTCTGTAAGTTCTGTCAAAGATATCTCGTCCCAAAACATTATAGGTCCTCCACCTAAACTGACAGTTTATCTTATACAGGACTAGGCGTAACGTTCACCTGGCCTTCTCATGAGATTACGGCGCTCATCAGAGCTGTTTAAAGTCATTCGACTTTCATCACAGAATAGAACTGAAATCATCAGAGCCGTATAAAGTCATTCGACGAAGCCTTCAGAGCCGTATGAAGTCATTCGACTTTCATCACAGAATAGAACTGAAACCCATTGGTCTATAGTCCATTCAAGATGTTCTCTCGCAAATTGAAGTCTGGCTTGATATAAGCTACGGTCAATTGTGGTCCTGTTGCTGACTGGTGAGGTCTTAAATTCTGTTCAGGAAGTCTTTTTCTCATCGGACTGTCACTTATAGCCATACCCCGCACTTCACACAGCCGTCGCTGGAGATCTACACCAGAAAGGTGCCAATTTCTTAGAGCCGATGTCACAAAAAAGTGGTCATCTCTTTGAGTGGTGACCCTTTGTCTTGCAGATCCTGTTCTTCTACGGTACTACCCAGAATGAAACCTCTGGTAAACTCTCCGAACCGCAAATTGACTGAGAAGTAATCTTCGAGCGTAAACACGTTGACTGAACAGTTTTCAGTATCATTATTAATTCCAGGCTAATTTAATCCCAATTACAGTAATCATCAATAGATTAAGAATAGTCAACTACAATTACAGTCTCCGGCACGTAACTTGGCAACAGTCTTTCGATGCGCACAAGTATGCTCTAAGGCACAAGTCGATTTTTAGGTCTCCTGGGAGGTGAAGCGAGATGCGGGGTATGTGGTAGGGCCGATACGAGCGCGCGATTGGTGAGTCAATCGACTCTTGTTTCTCGCACAGCGTCTACGTTCCGTTCGCTCCCGATTACACATGCTTGCACGATAGTTGTACCCTTTGTTTAGCGACCATATAGTCGATACAGTCACTGAACGTTTTATCATTCACGCCGGTGCCGGTGCAGTGACGAAAGCGACTCCTCGCGACTACGATTAACGACGAGAGTGAAGATAGTTTTACCGAGGATAAGGAGCCGTCTCCTTCCACCAGCTCGGGTGTTACTTTTAATTTGATACCAGGGGTAGCAGTTTTATCAACTGATAGTGACGACGAGAACACGTACCTTTTTTTAATATGAAAATAAAAAAATCCTTATAGGCCATCATAAACGTAGCATATGACAAAAATAAAAGTTAATCTATAGACGGCCAACCAAGACCCTGCCTTAGCATAAGCCAACATAGTGAGAAAAGAAAAAACTTCTCTCACCATGTGGGCGCTGGTATTCTGGCAGGGCCTGTGCAAGGTCGTTTAATGGTTCGTAAAACATTCAAAAACCAACACTAAAAACAGAACAATAAAAAACCTACATACCATACTATATACCATAGAGTACGTTGTATACTATAATTTATACATTTTGTTTAAGTATATAATGTAAATAAACCATGTACCGGAAATTAACAATTTTTATTTAGTACACTGACATTATGACCTATCCCTGACTTTTATAGGAGATTGCTCAAATTGGCCTAAATGCACAAAAAATATTGACATACACGGTAATTCTTGGCGTAATTTATAATTTAATTTAGTCATTAGATTTCAACGGACACCTTTGTATAATATATTTACTTTAAAAAGGACTTTTAATTTTACCGGTTTGGAAAACATACGAATCATTTTTAATGGCTATGGGTGTAGTAACATTCAGCCAAAGACTGATCGAAGTTGTTTATATAACAAAAAAACAAATCTATTTTGTAAAGATCGATAAAATAAATCATTTTTTTTATTACACTGTGGTATTAATATCCACAACTATCCGTCTCCTTCCACCAGCTCGGGTGTTACTTTTAATTTGATACCAGGGGTAGCAGTTTTATCAACTGATAGTGACGACCAGAACACGTACCTTTTTTTAATATGAAAATAAAAAAATCCTTATAGGCCATCATAAAAAGACCCTGCCTTAGCATAAGCCAACATAGTGAGAAAAGAAAAGTTCAAAAAGTTTATCTTTGCAATTATAAAGAGCAAAGTGCAAAAACAAGGTGGGTCTATTTTTGCGATGACCAGTGTATTTAGTATCCACTCCCTAATTCTTCACTTTCCGTCAGCGTGGTGTAGGTACCAATATTGAATAAATTTTAATTGAACTGTAAGAACACGTTCATTCAAATTTGTTTTAAATTTTTTGCCGAACGATATAAGCTATGTTCTATTTAAATCGCCTCGTGTGAACCCGGTATTAGCAATTGGAGCTGTTCAATGGAAGTTTTGAAGTAATTTCGTTAAATAAAACGAAAATAATAAATACATGAAATATTTATTCATACTTTAATGTAAAACACATTGCAATTGCACGCACCTACTGTGCTTTTTGTATAGTAAAATAACTTTAATTAAATAATACCTTAGGAATTCATTTGTAAATCAAGAGATATCCTTATTTATAAAAACCCCTGCCACGCCCTCTTTGACCCCTACCACCGCCTCTGCCTCTAAAGTTCTTCTGAGGGTCATAGTTACCAAACTGTTGTTGGTTGGGTTGTCTATTATCGAAATTGTTATTATTTTGGGGTCTGTTATTCGCGAAGTTAGGTCGAGGCCCTTGATTGTACGAATCCTGTCCAGTATTATTGTCAAAGCTGCCTCTTTGGGACCCCATATATGGTCCTCCACGGTTATCCTGCATGCCTTGCCCGAAAGGTTGCTGATTACTTTGCATAACAGGTTGGTTTGGAGGGTTCTGTATAAGAGGACCTCTATTTTCCTGCACATTATTAGGACCTCTATTATTTTGCATAGGAAATTGTCTGTTAGTTTGCATGCCTCTATTATTGTCTTGCATATATGTGCCACTGTTTCCTTGCTGTTGGCCACTGTTCTCTTGTTGAAAAGAACTGTTATCCCGTTGGAATGGTCTGTTGTCCTGTTGGAATGGTCCCCTGTTGCCCTGTTGGAAAGGTCCACCACTATTCTGCTGCATTGGACCTCTGTTACCCTGTTGGAATTGTCCTCTACTATCCTGTTGGAACTGTCCTCTACTATCCTGTTGGAACTGTCCTCTACTATCCTGTTGGAATTGACCTCTACCATCCTGTTGAATTGGACCTCTATTATCCTGTTGAAATGGAGCCCTGACATTCTGTTGATATGGTCCTCTGTTGTCTTGCAAGGGAGGACCCCTGTTGTCCTGCAGTAAGGGTCCTCTAACGTTCTGTACCATAGGCCCCCTATTTTGTGGTGCAAAGTTCCCCATATTATCTTGCATCATAGCACCCCTATTATCGTAATTTTGAGGAGCACCATCCTGCGTGTAAGAATCTCTATTACCCGAAACACTTTGTGGGGAAATTTGATTCCAACCGCCCATGTTATTGTTATCATATTGATTGTTTTGATTTCCTTGGTTTTGTGGTGTTTGTAATAAGCCTTGGTTAAAGCTGGGTGGTTGGACCATCGGAGCAGGATTGATGAGAGGTTTAGCTGGCTCTAATGGTGCTTCTGGTAAATCGCCAAAAGAACGTGGTTGCGTATTGCTAGTGACTACTTCTGCCGATTGAGCTGTCGTAGTATTAGCGGCCTTTGCGGTGGACTGAATCGACGCCTGGACCAAAGCCAAGAGATCTGTAGCAGACGACAAGTTGCGCGTCAAATCGATAGATGGCGTTGGCTTAGTTTCCGTGGGGACCGTCATAGGTTTGGTCTCCTCGAGGGACTTCTTAACTATTTCCATTTCTTGACGTATCTGATCTTCTTTCACTTTTTGAGTGGCCGATTGGAATACCTGTAAAAAAGATAATATAGATATAACATAACAAAAACAATGTTGTGAAAAGGTAATATTAGATTATCTTAAAACAATAAACTAATAGTCCTCCCTAACATTTTAAACTGTATCGAGTTATGATGCCAGCACTTCAATTGGCTATTCGTGTTTGCTATTTCTAAATATGACATCAGTTTATCCTTTTCATTCCTTGTAGAGAGAGCATGATAAGGACAGACTGCTGTCAAATTTTATCTTCAAAAAAGAAATGCTGGCTTGAAAGATAATGAACTAATAATTTGTGACAAATACATTAAGATCAAGACAAAGATAAGATTTGTCATTCTTCTATTAACTATGATCATATTATCCTTTGATATAAATCATTGAAGACCTCCGTAGATGAGTAGTTTGCAAGCCGGGTTTCAATGTGTTGCCTACTCAAGAGGTCCCCGGGTTTGAATCCCGGTGGGGGCAGATGTTTGTGTGACAAATACAAGCATTTGTATTCCAGTCCCATGACTGGATCCATATGTTTAATATGTATTTCTATATAAATATACTTGTATATATATCAGTATATTATGTATTCTATCCGTTACCCTAGTATCCCATAACACAAGCCTACAGTGTTTACTTTAGGGCTAGGCTAATTGGTGTGTGTTGGAAATATTTATTATTTTTATTATCAAAATATACAAAAAAGTTCATATTGACAAATATGCGTAATAATAAAATACTGGCACATCACATGGCTATTTAATTAATAATAAAGGTTAATACATATTTTTCCTTTGCTTTTCGTACAGAGCACGATAAGGATATTGTACTGCCGAACACGATTTTCTGGAGCCAATGACTGAAAAATTAATGATGAATGAAAAACAATGGGGGCCTGGACTTTTTGGAGGGATCGGGAAGCGTCACTTTAGCAGTTTTGTATTTCTTGTTAAAAATTGTGTTGTGGCGGATGTTAGTGTCTGATAATAGTAGATTATTAACCACTAAGTGTTTGGGAACATGCACAAGTGTTGGCAAGTGAAACAAAATAGCGGAAAGTGTCTTTCGACGTTCCCTCAAGAAGTCCACGTGGAGGTTTCAGTATATCCCCACACTTTTACTGAAATACATAGGGAAAGGGGGATTGACTTGACTGCTACTTACTTTGACTTAATTTTTACTTTGACCACGAGTGCTTATTGTATTTGTAAACTTTTTAACACTTGACATTGGAAAAATGCACAAACCGTGCGAAGCCAAAAAGAAAAAAAAGGGGGGCGCGGTTGTTACACGGGTCTATGAACCTACACGGGCACCAGTCTCCCACGAAAGACGACATGATTATAGAATTCGCCTAAGATTTTTGTATACCTTTTTTGTCATTTGTGGTGAGAAATAAAGTTATTTTATTATTTATTTTTTTACTAACAAAACTAGTATTTACATCGCTAATATTACCTCTTCAACAGTATAATCGTCGTCATCGCTCTCAACAGTAACGGGTTTGGGATCCACAGCAACAACAACAGGTTTCTCCACATCGATAGTTACGGGCGGAGCGGCGTTATCTGCCGAGCTAACGTACTGACGTAACCTTTGAACGAATGAATGATCACTTTATTGTACACCATGAAATTTTAAATTACAATTAATTAAGATTATTACATAATAGTACAAACGGCGGCCTTATCGCTAAGAGCAATTTCTTCCAGGCAACCGTATGTTAACTGGACTGTTACATAGAGAGTGGGAAGTAGATGGTGTCATTTAAAGTCAAATTACCATTAATAATACTAACCTTTCCACTCTCTCGGGCTCTTTAGCCTCGAGCTTCTTCAAATACGCTATCAAACTGTGTTGCTCCTCAGCAGAGAGCTCGTTGAAGTTCTTCAATAAAGTCTCCAAATCGGAGTCGGACAAGCCGTCCATTGCATCGGCGATCTCCTCTTTGTCCGCTCTGTGAAAATAGTTGATGTTATTATGAGGATCCGATAGCGCAGGTGGTTAGCGCGTTCGGCTGCGATCGTTGAAGTTAAGCTACTTTCGCAGTGGTCGGTCATTGGATGGGTGACAAAAAAATTGCTATCTCGATCTCCTCCGTGCTTCGAAAGGCACGTTAAACCATTGGTCCCGGCTGCGTGTGCAGTCGTAAGCACCCTCCAATCCGCACTGGGCCCGCGTGGTGGGTCATGGCCCAATCTCCCAAGGCCTGTGCCCCAGCAGTGGGGACATTAATAGGCTGATGATGATGATGATTTCTTTATTTTTTAAGCATTTAACTAGATAAAATTAATTATGAGATGGCGCTGCCCTGCAGCTTAAGAAACACAGGTGCGGGTTCGAGTTCCGTCTGCTGCCTGGTCCGCGTAGATTTTTGTCCAGTAAAATTTTCTTCAGATTTTGACTAGTTACGCCGCGTTTTGTTTATATCACGATCTAATACCGTTTGTAATTCATTTATTTATTCATCATCAGCCTATTAATGTCCCCACTGCTGGGGCTCAGCCCCATAGGGAATATGGATGGAATAGGGAGATTGGGCCATGACCCACCACGCGGGCCCAGTGCGGATTGGTGGGTGCTAAAGACTGCAGATGCAGCCAGGACCAACGGCTTATGCCTCCGTGCCTTCCGAAGCACGGAGGAGATCGAGTAAATTTTTGGTCACCCATCCAATGACCGACCACTGCGAAAGTTGCTTAACGTCAACGATCGCAGCCGAACGCGCTAACCTATTAAGCTAAAGCTAGCTAAATTTATTAATTAGGGAGTTAAAAGTTTATATAAAAGTCTCACTTTTTTTCGTTCTCATCGTACGCCGACTGCAGCAGCTGCAGCGCGGAAGCCGAACTGTTCGCCTGAGGCGCTGCCTTCACCTGCGCAGGCTTCTTAACTTCCACCTTCTTCACTTCACTCTCTCGCTTCTTAGCCTCCGCCATTCCGACCACTGCGTCCACTAATTGAGCCAACTCTTCGGATGAAACGTCCGTCTTCCCTTGAGCTATGAGCGCGGCCGCCATTTGCTGAGCGATCTGAGCGCGGTCCACTTCGCCGACGCCCGCGACTGGTAAAGCCTTCTCTTCGGCTTTCGGGTTGTCAGCCTTCTGCTGCAGAGGGAAAAGAACACTATAACAATTTGAAAAAATAATAGGACTCGACTGTCTAAAGGTGCTCTCTCATCAGCATTTGTCTGTGATAAGGGTTACCATTTAGTAATTTCAAAAGTCCTGACAAAAATCCTGACATTTCGAAAAAAGTCCGGATTTTTTAATCACAAAATGGTATCATTATTCACTTAGTTACAATGGTATGGTATTTAAACCAATATGTACATTTACTATTCATATTCATTGTAATTTAAAAATCCGGACAATTTAGAGAACAAGTGGCATGAATCTTGATAAAAACTGTTCACAGTTAAGGACATACAATAATGAACAATGCCAAGTGTCCATAGTAACTTTGGCTTAATATAATTTTTTCACGGACAGCAATGAAAATAGATTTACTGTGTGTAGTTTAATAACTAAAACGATTTCAGAACATTAAAAGTTCTAAAGAACTTCTAACAAAGAAATACTTAGATAATATAAATATATACTGTAGACTATTTCACTCAACTTGAGTCTATCCTCGAACCTCTTTGTACAGATTACAGGCATCTCATAATCATGGGTGATTTTAATACCGATCTTATGCGTAATACGCCGCAGTCTCTTAAATTGTCTAATATTGTCAAATCCATCAATCTCTCTATTCTGCCTTCTGAGCCTACGCATCACAACCCCTCTTCTTATGATACATGGCTTGATTTAATAATAACCTCTCCTGATGATGTGATTGGTCATGGTCAACTACCGGCCCCCGGGTTTTCTAAACATGACCTCATCTTCTTAAAATATAAGTTGAAACCCCCAAAGCAGAAACCTACTGTATTCCAGATGCGTAATTTCTCTAGACTTGACCTTGACAGGTTGAGGGAGGATGCTGCTCGGATCGACTTTTCCTGTGTTTTGGAGTCATCGTCAGTTGATCAGAAAGTCTATCATTTTAATAATCGTTTACTCCAACTGTACGATACTCATGCCCGAGTGAGGGCGGTAAGAGTTAAGCGACCACCTGCCCCGTGGATTAATAGAGGTGTCCGTATGACCATGACTCGGAGGGACCGTGCGTTCCGAACCTTTAAGCGCAGCAGGTCGGAGGAGAACTGGCGTCTCTATAAATCTGCACGCAATAGATGCAATGGAATGGTAAGGGCAGCTAAGCGTCAATATTATCATAATAACACTTATAATTGTTCTTCAGCCAATATCTGAAAGTTTTTGCGTTCACTTGGTTTGGGTAAAAACTCATCTCCATCTCAGTTCCTCCCTTTCTCTCTTGATGAGTTTAATAAACACTTCTCTGGTATTTCTTCCTTGGAACCCGCTATCAAAACTAAAACTATCGATCTAATAACTTCCATGGCTCAATCTCACTCTGTATCCTTTTCCTTTTCTCCAATGTCAAACGACGAAATTAAGAAATTATTGTGTCCATAAAATCGAAAGCCGTTGGATACGATCATGTGAGCAGGGATATGGTCTATATAGGATAATGTCAAGGATATTTATGGGGAATAAATATCCTTGACATTATCCTCCCAATTATAATTGGCCAATAATTATTGGCCATATCCTCAATTATTCCTTTCTTACTGGTTGCTATCCACTTCCCTGGCGTTAAGCCTACGTTATTCCCATCCCTAAAACTTCCACCCCTACACAATTGAACAACTTTAGGCCGATTTCCATCCTCCCATTCCTCTCCAAAATCCTTGAAGCTGCTGCTCACTATCAAATATCATCTTTTGTACACTCTAGGCAGTTACTTACTCCCTTTCAGTCCGTCTTTCGACCTGGGCATAGTACATCGACAGCTCTACTTAAAGTAACCGAGGACATCCGGCTTGGCATGGAGAACCAGTTGGTCACCATTATTGTCCTAATTGACTTTTCCAATGCTTTCAATATGGTGGACCACGACCTTCTACTTGCGATTCTGAAAACTCTTAATTTTTCGTCTTTGACATTGGACTGGTTTTCATCTTACCACTCTGGTCGCCAGCAGGCAGTGCGCAGGGAACGTGAATTGTCAAGGTGGAATGACTTGACTGCTGGCGTTCCACAAGGGGGCATTCTTTCCCCTCTTCTTTTCTCTTTGTTCATTAAGTTTCTTTCCTTCTCGCTCGGCTGCTTTTATCATTTCTATGCTGACGATTTGCAGATTTATGTACAGACGACTGCTGAGGAAATTTCTGATGGAATATCTCAGCTCAATAGGGAACTATGCAATGTAAGTTCTTGGTCTGCTGACTTTGGAATTGCCGTTAACCCCACCAAATGTCAAGCTATTGTAGTGGGTGGCTCCAAGCAGATCTCCAAGATTGATTTTGGTCTGCTCCCACCTGTTGTTTTTGAAGGTTCTAAAATTCCATTTAGCCTAAGCGTTAAAAATCTCGGCCTTCATATTGATACTACGCTAAGTTGGACGACGCAGATTGCCGAAGTCAGCCGAATCGTGTCTTTTTCGTTGCGTACCCTTAATCGTTACATAAATTTTCTCCCCATTAAAACAAAGATCACTCTCGTTACGTCCCTTGTTCTACCTCTCATTGATTATGCCGATGTCTGTTATCCTGATTTAAATGCAGATCTTCTCAATAAATTGGACCGCCTTATGAATAATGCTATACGTTTCATCTTTTGCCTCCGCAAGTTCGAACATGTTTCTTTATATCGATCCCAACTAAAATGGCTTCCTATTCGCCAGCGTAGGCAGTTAAGATTACTCTGCACTCATTTTTCCATTATTTCCAACCCTCATTCTCCAGAGTACTTGAAATGCAAGTTTCAGTATCTCAGTGATAGTCACGATCGTCCTCTCCGCTCTGCTGATTCATTACCTCTCTATATTCCTCTTTCTCACTCAGGCTATATGTCCAACTACTTTACTATTAAAGCTATACGACTGTGGAATGACCTTCCCGACTCCATCAGAAGATCTCCTAGTAAACTTATATTTAAAAGGAATGTTCACGCTCATCTGTTGCAAAACTTAAGATGAAGTGTCATTTTATTAATCATCATCTTGTGTATATATGTGTATATATATATTTCAGTATACTGTATATATTTAAATATTAGTGTGTTTTGTTTGTATGTGTTATATTATTTTTATAGTATGTATTTATATATGTATCTATGTTAATTTGTATATATATTCGTATTTAGCTTTATACCGCCGTTCGTGTTTTTCATTTTTCCCAAAGCCTTTTGCACCAATGTTATATATTTATATTTTGGTCAATAAAGTTTAAAAATAAATTAAAATAAATAAATATGGAATTTGAATCAATTTGACGATCGCTGTGGCGGAGTGGCTTCCACACCGATTTTCGCCTTATCTGGGTTCCCAGGTTCGCTCCTCTGTCTTACTGACCCAGAAAAATATCCGCTTTACATTGCCTCGAGTCTGTTGCTGACTAATGCTGTTATTTTATATGCGCATTGTGGTAGACCCAAAGTAGGGTCCTCTGGGTAGGTAATTATAATTAATAATACACTTCGATGATTATTAGAATAATTTTAATGCGTGCAAAAATCGACTGATTCAATTAGTGTCATTCACTGTTGCTGTATTATTCTCAGTTACCACAAAGCCTATCAACGCCAGTGCGAAGTCTTGGAATATATGACTCTCTCTTTCTATTGCAATAAATCAGAGAGAAACGAAACCGTAATCTGAAGTTTGTGGATACGAGGGTTGCACAGGTAGAAGACCTCTCCGTAAATATTAATGAGTGTGGCCGGCTTTAAATGCAGATAATTAGTATGTAGCAGCAAACGTGCAACTCAATTTATTTTTGTTAGATTGCCTCTATTTGTTTATTAATAAATTAATTGTATCTGAGAAGTTCTCGAAAAAAATAGGAATTTTAAACTTTCGAATTGTTTATGTTTATTGTTGTAAGTAAATAATATATATACCCGTGCCATTTTAAAATAAAAAAAAAATTGTAAGCCAGAGTCTGGCATTGTTCTTTAAACATTACCGATGTATTTGTGCGATTGTTTTTAAGGGGTCGATCGACGGCCAAGTGATGATCTTTGTTAGCGTCTTTAAGCTGCGACAAGCGTTTACCATGGGGGGTGCTAGTGTGTAGTATTAAATACGTAAAATATCGATTATGGGGTTGCCAACTGTGCTTCTTCAAAATACAGTAATACCAAAATAACTTCATTAAAAAAATGTAATCTGTCCAAGCTCAATAGCTAGCTCTTATAAAATCTTTCGCAAAAGCGTTCAAACAAATGCACAACATATACATACAACATTAAGTTTTAACATCGAAGTTAACAGTAAAAAATCTTTGAAGTTAATTTAACACAGTAACTCTTATGCGTAATCCAACCTGAAGAATTCTTTCCATAAGGATATCATAATAATACTAGCGAGCTCCCGCGACTTCTACCGCGTTAACTTTGTTTTATTTTAATCACACGGGAACCTAAAAATTTTCCTGAATAAAAATTATCCCATGTCTCAATCCAGGTCATAAATTATATGCGTATTTCATCCAAATCCATTCAGTAGCTTTTGCGTGATTGAGTAAAGTACATACAAACTTCCACATTAATAACATTAGTAGAATAAGCGTTAACCAAGTTAAATATAGTCGAAGCTAGATATTTTTAATTATTCAAAAATCTACTCTCTACAAGGTAACTCTTGAAATATAAATCACTAATGTAGTGTCCTATGAACTAAATTAGAAGTTGAGTATTCCTAAAAATTTGCCTAAATTATAATTTATACTATACAATTAAAAGTTTTGTCGTCACACAAACCATCGGTTATAGCACATCTTATAACATAATTGTGTCGTTAGCACCCACCAATCCGCACTGGGCCCGCGTGGTGGGTCATGGCCCAATCTCCCTATTCCATACATAGAGAAGGCCTGTGCCCCCAGCAGTGGGGGCATTAATAGGCTGATGATGAAGTTAAATATAGAAAATTTTCCTAGACAATATAGTGTGACGTACATCTATGTTTTTGGCGCGTCGTCGTCGCGGCCGGGTGCGCGTCCTAGTGCGAGGCTTTTTGACGCGCGCGGCCGGCGCGGGCATGAGCACCTAAAATCGGACAGCCACATTACATTGGCGAATCATGACATCAATTTAATGTATAGAATGTTTATGAACAAATTTATTTGTATTTATCTTTGAAGCAAAGAAAATAAAAATCTGATTGGTTAGTTAGCGTCGTCGCGTAGATCCGATTTCAAGTTCTTTTGTCCGCTAGGCTCTCATTGAATAAGTGTAATTATAAAATTCGACTAGTTATTTTTAAATATTCAAAAAACTATTGATTGCGCTACAAGATAACTCTTGAAATATAAATCATTAATGTAGTGTCCTATGAACTATATTAGCAGATAATTATTCCTAAAATTTTACTACATTATAATTTATAGTTAGATACAATTCAAAAAGTTTTATCGTCACAAACCATCGGTATGACCATGAAAATCGTATCGTTTCATCTCTACTCTACCCTAGTGTAGTGATGCACTGACCTTGGCCCGCTCCCTCGCGTGAGTATCAGCCGCTTGAAGAGTCACCACGAGCCTCGCGACACAGGATCGTACTACACTCGACTTCAAATAAATTGGGCTAACCGCTAGTACATTGGAACTGTAATTGGATTTTTTCAAAAAGTATAACACTGACAACTATTAAAGTTATATCTACAAAAGAGTGTTTCGTAATTAATAATATGAGTAAAAATTTATTCTAAATTACTGTCAACTTACTTTGTAATCGAGCAAGAACAGCAATGCTAACAATTTGGTATTTTATTAATTAAAGTAGCGATTAATCATCATTCTTTTTTATAAAATCAAGATACTTCTTATCATTTCCTTAGTTTTTCTCTATAGTTTTCTCAGACGTGAGTACTTTTGCTTCGTTCGTTAATTCCAAATACCACAATTAGTAAACGATTCTTCCTTGGCTTCTTTTAAATAAAAATTGAATTAATTGATTAATCTCAATAAATTCTAGTTCATTTTAATCACCACGAAACGCACTTTCTGTAGTTATAATTTTGACAGTTGTAAGTTTTATACTTTTTGAGAAAAAAAATTAAGAGTTCCGTGGTAGCAAGTGGCACAGTTTATTTACAGTCGAGTGTATATCTTTCAGCGTCACTGCCTATAGACCATCACTCGCACCGTTACCTACCCTGACCCAATCCCCTGACCGTGGAGCACTGGAACCTTATTCACCGACAGAAACACAACGACACCAAAAGGTGGTGTTACCCAGACATACGCTCCTATCGGGATGACAAATAACTTTTTTTTTCTTCGGCCATCAGGTAGGTTATGGAAAAGTATTGGACACATATTTTTTCTTAATTCACATAATCAAAACATTACAGAGATATATAAATAAACACACACAATAGGTAATCCGAAACGAGAATGCACTTTCCTGTATATATTACTACTTTTTGGAATGCACGAATGCCACAGATTACTACGAATGCAAACTGCCTGCTTGCACCACAACCACAGAGTATCGAGTTTTATGCCAGCCCTTCACTTGACAACAGTTTGTCCTTTTCATGCTTAATAAGGAATGAAAAGGACAGACTGATGTCATGTTTTAAAATAGCAAATACGAATAGCCAAGTGAAGAGCCGGCGCTGTCATAGATTATACACATAAAATGGTATTGTCTCAGATTATTTATTAACTTTTTAATTTAGCTTACTTAACTGGAAGTGTCCGTCACAATCTAAATACTGATTATTATCGCAAAAAATATACTAAGAATTATGATAAATGCCAAATTGGTGTTGGTTCTTAGGCCAAATTTAACATTGTCCTTTCCCAGGTATGATCCAGAAGAAAAAACTGACTGTTATGATGTGGAAAATACGTGGCCTTCGACTTCGTTAAAGGATTTTTTACACCCTGTATAATTTCCTTTAATTTACCCCGTCGTCACCTTTAACGGTCGAGCGGAAAATCCGCTATGCCCTACTTCACTTACCTTAGCCCACGCCCTCTGGCGGGTATCGGCCAAGGTCCTAACGACACCTGTATCCTGATAGTACGATATCCTTCAGCGTCACTGGATATAATTTCTGCCTTTTATTTGAAAATCCGCTCTACCCACAGAACACAGAAAGTGGTTAGAAGGGCCTTGTGGGCGGGGCAGGTGCGCCACTGTCATGTGTAAGCTAATGCTCATAACTTGACCAGAACTTGGTTCTGTTTGATCTCGGGTGTGAGGGCTAATTGGTTCCATTGTTTGATGTCGCGTGGTTTGATTGGCTGTTCCCTATTAGGTGGAAGTGTAATGGAGGCGCGACATCGGTTCCCGTACAAACGGTCTATGATCACCCTTCTAACCTCTCTCCGTGTTCTGTGGCTATGCCCCACCTCTCTTACCTTAGCCCGTTCTCTCGCGCGGGTATCGGCCGCGTGCAGAGTGGCCGCAGTCCTAACGACGGCGGATCGAACGGCCCCGGCCGCACTGCTTGGTACAAGTCCGGCTTGTACGGCGCCTTTAAGCTTCTCCTTGGCAGTCTCCATTAGAACGACGGCAGTGTCGCGGTCGAGCAACTCCTCGGATGAATTGCCTTTCTCCTGTACATAGATTAGAAGAATAGTTAATTCAGGGATGTAAAGAAGTTGGGTGCGGGCTCGTGTTGCACAAGCTCTCTGGATATAGATGCCCTTAATGCTCTGGGGTAGGGTAACTATTTAAACAAATTAAAAGTCCTGACAAAAAGCCGGAAGTTTCGATAAAAGTCCGGACATTTTAGACACAAAATGCAAACATCACCCACTTAGATACAGTGATATTATACGAGTGGTAGCAGACGCTCGCATCGCGAAGCAGGTCTCGTTGTTGATTTCTAAAGAAAATTTTTATTTTGTTTTAAATTAATGAGAACTCAATAAAGATTATTTGACTTATTTGATATAACTTAATAAGTAGTTTAACTCATATTCCACCTAATTTAAAAAATCCGGACACATTAAAAAGCCCAACAAATTCCGGACAGACGGCAAAAAGTTTAGACATGTCCGGACAAATCCCGACGGATGGTAACCCTACTCCGGGGCATCTTCGTCGGGGTTACGGACAATAATCTTGCGCGTGGCCAGTTAAAAATCGGATGCCACTAACACACTCGCACTCACGGCATGCATTGGGGGGACCTCTGTCCTAAGAATGTATGCCGGGTGACCGGCGCATGAGTATTGTATGATTCACTAGCCTTCTTAGGCCCATTGGACCCTGGCTGAAATAAGGAGGGAGGAGTCCCAGATACCTTCTTCTCGCTCCCCCATGTTTGAAGGATGCGCAAGGCATTTTCCAGACATTAAAAAAGGGATGTTATAGTTGCATCAACATCAGATATTTGCTATGTCCAAAATGAAAATTTTCCAGTATCAATGCGAGATAAGTCATGATTCACATTCATGATTCGATTGTGGAACAATAATACTACCTTCTCCATGCGTAGCGCTTCAGTGAGCAGCTCCACCATCTTGGGCCCGACGCTGCCCAGGTAGTCTTCTAAGGCGACCAGCAGCCTGAGGGTGGCTATCACGTTCTCCGCGGGCCCCAGGTCATCGGGCTGCGCGATCCGCGAGTACTCGCGCCTGGGACGCGACGCGCGGGACATTTCGCTGCCGGCGCGCGATAATCGCGTCGGTGACCGCACGTCGGGCATTGAAAGGATCGAGTCCATGTCGTTGTCCGAATTCCACGGTGAGAGGTCGTCGCTGTTACGGTGAAATTGTTTTTTTTATCAAATGGAACATATCAATATAATGTCACTTAAAGTTACATGTAGTCTTATTCTAATGAGAACTCTAAGAAGTGAGAGTCAGAAACATTGTATTGCTACATGTCGACACAATGTTTATAATGTGTATAACATGGTCCTCTTCAAGAGAAGCTTAAATAGAGTGCTTCACGAAAGCAACATGGTTGAGTCACTTGCATTGCTGACGTCCATGGGTGACGGTGACCACTTAACATCCGGTGGCCCATCCGCTCGTCTGCCTTCGAAGGCAACAAAAATATGTGATTATGCATTTGTAATTACATTGTGCATGAAAAGAAACAAGGTTTTCTCTTTTCCGGAGATTAACTTCAGCAAATAAGCCATTGTACAGCTTATCGCTGTTCTACAGTTGGAAACAATGATCAAAAAATTAATAATTCAACCAAAGAGACGACCACCGTGGCCGAGTGGTTTCTACGCCGGGTTTCATGGTGTCGCCGACTCGAGAGGTCCCGGGTTCGAATCCCAGTGGGGGCAGATGTTTGTGTGATGAATACGAGCATTTGCACTCCAGCCATGATGATGTTAAATATGTATTTCTATATAAATATACTTATATATGTACAGTATATGTATTCTATCCGTTACCCTAGTATCCCATAACACAAGCCTTCCAGTGCTTACTTTGGGGCTAGGCTAATTGGTGTGTTTGAAATTAAAAAAAAAGAAGCAAAACTGCTAAATCAATCATTGTTACATAACATACGGTTTGAGTTCATCGTCGGATATGAGCACGGTCTGCATGGAAGGCGCGACTGGTCCAGCAGCGTTGGCGGCCCGCTGCTGCGGCGAGCGGCTGCGGTTGCGGAGCGGTTCGACCGCCGCGCGCCGGGACAAGGGGCTGCCGCTGCCTCGCGACTCGCGGGGGCTGGCAAACGAATACAGTACCGTTAGCACGAACCAATAATAATATATGTTTACTAGCTGACCCCGCGAACTTAGTACCGCCATAAAAAAATAGGGGTTGGTGGTAGAAAGTTGAAAATTTAGGGATGTATGTATTTTTGTATGATGTATCATAAAAAAATATATATCTAAAATTGAAAAAAAAATTAGGGGTGAATTACCCTTAACATTTAGGGGGATGAAAAATAGATTACATCCGATTCTCAGACCTACTGAATATGCATATAAAATTTCACGAAAATCGGTCGAGCCGTTTCGGAGGAGTTTAACCACAAACACCGCGACACGGGAATTTTATATATTAGATTAAATTTCAGTATACAATAAATTACTTAATAGGGGTGACGACTAGTATTGCCAGGTGTCCCGATTTGCGCGGGACGTCCCTATTTTCAGGAGTCTGGGGACGCGTCCCGATTTGTTCCTGATCGGGACGCTAAATGTCACGATTAATTCAAAAATGAAATTTAGGTTATTAATATAATACTATACTTTCACTAGTAGTGTAAAACAAGATAAATTAAACCCAGACTTAAAAACCCCTTGTTTTTTGTTTACTGTCCCGATCTGCAACCCTTTTCCCGATCCAAATCCCGATTTTCTTGACCTCATGTACCGATTTAAAACAAATCGAACCTGGCAACACTAGTGTCGACGGGGTAAGGTAAACGAAATTCTATTAAGTCAGTAATTTAGATGATCAAAAAATAATGGACACGTATTTTTTCTTTGGTCAATCAACCAAAAAATGACATAGATAAATCGCGTCAAAGTTTGGGAGCGGGGGTCGTCACTTTTAATTAAAAATTGTACTAAAATGTGACGTCAAGCCACTTTTCAAATCAATATATCTCTGTAATGTTTTGATTATGTGAAAAAGGAAAAAATACGTGTCCAATACTTTTTTGATAATCTACCTAATACACGAAGAAAAAAAAGTATGTCGTCATCCCTATTCGAAAAATAACAAAAGATATGTAACTTATACTATAGCCTGAACTAGGTAAACCTGTGTTTTAGGCAAAAGTCTTCTCCAACTAAATTATAGAATAATCAAAACTAGAATTTGTAATATAAAACCATACCATACCATAAAATATATGTACTATAAATTAAAATAAATACTCTAATATAAGGTACCATTTATTTTGAAAAGGACATCAACATCTCTGTGACTATACAAATAGGACATACTTAGTAAGGCATCATGAACATTAAGTTTGGCATGTTTATAATTTAGACTATATATATTTAGTTTAACATTTAGCCGGTTGTATTAAAATGGTCCTTGAAATAAATAAAATCTGGAAAAGAAGCTATGCTTTGTAGAAATACTTTGCGTTCATAACGTTTGCGAGTCCGAAATGTCATTGTCAAATGTGTACTGATTTTTAGTTCGCGTTACGTACTTTGTGGCGCTACTGTTCAAGTTTCCATATAAAAATTGTCATTGACATTTAGCACTCGCAAACTATTCGAATTCGATAGTGGTTCATGTTAGGGGTACAGTTCCTTCACTGTTCACTAGCGGCCAGGGGCGTATCTATACAGCCCGGCAAACTTCTTGAGCACCGGCCATGGACAAGGGAGACTGCGCAGTAGCAATTTTACATACAAAAACGTCTACTGCGCCAAGTTTTTGGTCTGTGGTTTTGCTCAAGAAGTAAAAGAATGGGCGCAAGGAACTCATCAGCATTTAACATTTAATTGAAGTTGTTATGATAATTTTAATAATGAAAATATCTAGGCAACAAAGCTGTAATCGGCTATTACTACTATTGTTTCATTATTGATACTGGCCGTAAACAAATAGATTCCTAATCTCAAAAATTGACAAACAAAAGTCTGTTTGAATAAGTTTCTTCTGTAAGAAGATTTAGATTAGTCGAAACTCTAGAAACTTTTGCTGCCAAGGCAGGATAATGTTTGTGCGATGAGATGACCAATAAGAATCAATATTGAAAAAGGAAAATTAACGTTAACGCTATAAACTTAACAAATACGCACACGCTTATGTATGTGCATGCAGTGTTGGCCTTTAATTGGTTAGCACATTTAGCATTAAATTTAGTAGATAAGATTTATTGTATGTTTCTATGTAGCAACCGTTGGCTGACCTTAATAAATAATCACAATAACTTACCGTGGTATAGGGCTACGCGAACGAGGACGACTGGTATGTGAGCGACTGGGCGGTACGATGACGCGTTCGTTCGACCTCGGACGAGGGGGAGATCTTAGGAAATATCAACAAGGTTTAGCAAACATTGGTTAAACTTACCATTTTATGTCCACTTGCAGCAAATTTGATAAATCACGATTCAACTACAACTAGATTTAACCTTTAAAGGGTCTGGGTCTTTTTCCAGAATGGATCAGAGTTGCAAAAGATAGAGGAAAAGAGAAATCTTTAGAGGAGGCCTATGTCGAAAGACAAGCTGTTTCTAAAAATAATGACCCGAATGCTAATAATTTAGAAATATAAAAAAAAATAGATTAAGAAAATGTTTTATAGTTTAACAGCAATAAAGGCTAATTTTATTTTATTTTTATATTTGACCTATAAAACAATTACAAAACGTCAATGTTAATTTGACATGTATGGGCAAAATGTAGTTTCAGTTAAATGGAGATTAAGCAAATTCGCTGCAAGTGGACCTTAGAATTTTTAAGATTAGGTTCACGGAAAATGTTATAGATGACACAGGCTATGGTCAAATATTTAATATCACATAATATGTTGGCACTTCCCATGGCCATTCGTATTTATTATTTGTACGTTTAAAAGCAGCCTCTTCTTTTCATTCCCTAAAGAGCACGATAAGGATATACTGGTGTCAAATATACAAATAACCAACACAAATAGCCCTGTGAAGTTCCAGCGTTACATATTGTAACATTGACATTGTAGAACTCTTTGCTCTTGCCAGGCAAGTACTGAAGCTCAAGTACGAACTTTGACAGATCCTATTCGTATCGCTATCATAGAGGTATAAGAATAGAGTGGGGAAGGCGGCTCTAAAAGTGCCCGTCTATTAGAAAGAGAAAGAAGATGAGAGACCGCTAGCTATCTCTCTCTCTTTTGACGCATGGCATCCAATAGCGTCACATCGAAATAGTAAGATGCTTACGGTAGCCACGGTGCGCAATGCGCATGCGCAATTAGATAGAAAAGCTAGCTGTCTCTCATCTTCTTTCTCTTTCTATTACAGGGACACTTCCACTTGTAGTAGAGAGTATATCTCCCCTTCTCTATTCTTATACCTCTATGATCGCCATCGTCAAAGTTTTTATGGAAACTATGCAGGCTCGTATGAACAGACTAACGCCATCTGTACAAAATTTGAGGATGGCGATACGAATACGTTCTAGCTAGTTGTTCGTGCTTGGTGTAATGTTAGGTATTAACATCAAACACGCACAGTAGAGAAGTATCTCGCTTAAAACGCTGTTTGTGCACAGCCTTAAAGTTTAAGAGGAGCAGGTAACTGTATGCGATATACAACTGGTTGTGCTTTTCCTATACAATTGACTTTTCACTCCATATTGATACTTTAACCTTATTGATTGATTCTCTAAACCTAAAATGATATTTGACAACAGTGTACTTGTAACTTGTCATTCTCTATACAGGATGTAAAAAATCCTTTAACGAAGTCGAAGGCCACGTATTTTCCACATCATAGCGATATTTTTTTTTCTTTTGGACCATACCTGGGAAATGTATGGTGATGGAGATATTGAAGGTCAAAGTCACAATTTTTTTTTCAAGATTTATACATCAATATTTTCAAAACGTTATTTAGATTTTTTTTATCGACACATTTACCCACACGCACACACATACACACAGGCATATTCTTTGCGTAGCGCCACAGTAGCGCACCGTGCTATAAATTGCGTACTGGTAAAAAAATGTATTTTTTTAACTTCAAAAATACAAATGATTCCCACATACAATATTTTGTAATATTACTTGTTTGGGTGTACAGAATGCATAGTTTAAGTCTTAATCACAGGTTTTTTTAAACCCTGTATAAAAAGAAAAGGAGAGACTGATGTTAAATTTAGAGAATCATGCCAGAATCAACACCAATATGCAGTGATGCAAATAAGAGTATAGTAATAAAAATTCCAATAGCGCTCACCTATTTTCCCGTCTGTCTATTCTATAGCGATCATTTAAAGGTCTCCTCGGTATGGGCAGCTTTCTATGATCCGGGGGCGAGTGTCGTCTAGGGTCAGGAGACCTTCTTCTGGGGTCGGGCGACCTTTGCCTGGGGAAACGTAAGTCAGGATGCCTAGGGTCAGGTGACCTTCGTCTGGGGTCGGGTGACCTCCTTCTGGGATCGGGTGACCTCCGTCTGGGATCGGGTGACCTCCGTCTGGGATCGGGTGACCTCCGTCTGGGGTCGGGTGACCTCCGTCTGGGATCAGGTGACCACCGTCTGGGTTCGGGCGATCTTCGTCTTTCCATTGGGTTTGCGTTCTTAGAATCTTGAGGGCCAGGTTTGGGCTCATCGTCTCGCTTCAGTTCAGGCGGCGTGAGACACATCTTGCGATATATCTCGCTTACGTGCACCTTTAGTTCTTCCTCGTGTAGTTCCTTCATGCGCGCCGTCCAAAACAATATCCATTCCGGTTTGAAGTCGTGCTTCGAAGGATCTTTACCCTCTGGACGAGGAAAAATACAAAAATTAATTTAGTCCATAAACAGTTTTGGAATATTCCATTCTGATCTGGGAGTTTGAAGTAGCTTCATTTGTACGAAATATCTTAAATATGATCATCATGTTTTCATTTATAAATTTCTCAATTTGACAGTTGATCTATGTGATGACATCTACCTTGTTTTTAACCTACCCACAAAAAAGTAGAAAACGAAATGAAATAAAAACTTAAATGAAAACTTTCATACAAAATTTGCCTAAACAAGGTTTGAAATCGTATCTAACGATTTTTGTAGTATAACCGAAGGTATTACTAAAAAAAAGTCTGCAAACTACGAATTTTTTGGAAATTTACAATCTGAAATTATTCGTTGATATAAATTACATTAGGATACAGATATCTTACCGGCCTGAATTTCCTTATATCGTCGGTTCCAGAATTTCTTCCACTCCTCGGGGTAGAGGGGATGCTTCTCCGGGTTCTTCTCATGGTAAGCGAGTGTCTTCTTGGCCGCCTCCACTGCGCTCTGACGCTTCTCCTCAGCTAGTTTCACCTTGTAATCGTAGTTTGGAGCTTTTTGCTAAACAAATTATAAATAATTATATAATTGAATCTGTAAGTGACTACTAAAGTAAAAATTACGTATCAAATAATAATATAATGATAATAATATTTCCACTGTAAGGCTTGTGTTAAGGGATGCTAGGGAAACGGATAGAATACATATACTGTACATTTATAAGTATATTTAGATAGAAATACATACGAAACATCCATGACTGGAGTACAAATGCTCGTATTCATCACACAAACATCTGCCCCCACAGGGACTCGAACCCGTAACACCGCGGTGTTACCCGCTAGCACTAGCACTAGCTGTGCCTCGGCGGGGCACAGCTAGTTCTCTATGCAGAATGAAAAGGAGAGATTGATGTTAAATTTAGTTTTAAGTTTTTTAACAGGGCCATGAACACATGTGACGACCAGGACTGGGATGCGTATAAAGATGCCAAGGCTCTTTATAAAAAACGCATCCGATACTGGAGCAATGAGTCTTGGAGGAAATTTTGTTCTGAAATAGACTCATGCACCAAGGCAAATAAGGTAAGGAAACTGCTTTCCAAAGACAGACAACAAGACCTTTCACAGCTCAGGAAAGCTGATGGCTCCCTCACAGAGACAGTGGAGAAGGCACAGAGGGTACTGCTCGAAACCCACTTTCCAGGCTGCATCATAGACACGACACACACCTGGAATGACACTTGCTGGACCCTCAAAGTTTTTATCCCCACGGAACAATCCTGGAACACTGCAATGAGGACAGTGTCCATGGACAAGTTAAGGTGGGCCATTAACAGCTTCCAGCCATTTAAAGCAGCCGGACCAGATGGCATCTTTCCGGCGCTGCTTCAATGGGCAGGTGAAGCGCTAATCCTTATCCTGGTTCCCCTCCTCAGAGCGTGTCTTGCATTCAGATACACGCCGAAGCCTTGGAGGGAGGTCAAGGTAATCTTCATACCAAAGCCAGGTAAGGCCGACTACAACGAAGCGAAATCTTTCGGGCCAATAAGTCTCTCATCATTTCTGCTAAAAACCTTAGAAAGACTGTGTGACAGAGAGCTGAGAGATAACCAATTAACCAGCTTTCCACTACATCTAAACCAACACGCCTATTGTCCAGGCAAGTCGACAGAATCTGCACTACATGCAGTCGTAAGTAAAATAGAGGATAGTCTCAGACGAAAAGAGCTATGTCTGGGCACCTTTATAGACATAGAAGGCGCGTTTGACAAAACAAGCTTCGCCAGTATTGTAAACGCACTTGGCTTTTATATTACCCTTATACTGGGTAAGTAACATGCTCCGTAACAGACTAATCAGACTACAAGACGACAACCATCTCAGAGCATTGGCGACTAAAGGATGTCCTCAAGGAGGAGTACTATCGCCTCTGCTATGGAATGTAGTCGTAAACGACTTAATTACCAAACTAAACAACCTTCACTTCCACACGGTGGGCTATGCGGATGACCTGGCAATCCTAATCCCGGGTAAGTTTGCGAGCACCGCTTGTGACATTACACGGGGGACAATGAAGGTAGTTGAAAAATGGTGTGACGACTACGGCCTTAAGGTGAATCCAGTGAAGACAGAATTAGTCATGTTCACGAATAAAAGAGCCTTAGGCGACTATCGGCTACCGAAATTATTAAACACGACACTAAGGCTCTCCAACGAGGTAAAAGTATCTAGGAATAACCCTAGATTCCAAGCTGAACTGGGGTTCACACATAGACAAAACTACTACTAAAACCAACATCATTTTCTGGCAATGCCGCAAAATGATTAGCAAAACCTGGGGACTATCACCGCTCATTGTTAGGTGGCTGTACACGACCATAATTAGGCCCATCATCAGCTATGCAGCAGTAGTATGGTGGACAAAGACAAACCAGGTAACGACAATTAATAAGTTAAGACGTCTCCAGAGGCGGGCCTGCTGTGCAATCACTGGCTGCATGAAAACCACTCCCACATCAGCACTGGAGACTATACTTGACGTGAGACCACTACATTTGTTTATACAACAGGAAGCTGCTTGTACAGCCACACGACTAAGCATGCTGGGGCTATGAAGGGACAACAGCTCCCCACACACCAGCATTTTAGCAGACATATACAGGTACTTTCCGTACTTTGCTGCAGTAAACGACCTTATTCCAAAGACGTACGTATTCGACAAAAAATACAAAATTCAACTTTATGAAGACACTCCGGACCACTGTCTGCAAAAGGAGTTGAGGGTCTACACAGACGGCTCAAAAACCAACTACGGTACAGGTTCGGGTGTCTTCTCTGAAGACCTAAATATACACATCTCAACAGCATTGGGAGCCTATAACACGGTCTTAAAGGCAGAGTGTGTGGGCATCATCAAGGCCGCTGAAGCGATAGATTGTCGCAAGGTAAGAGGAAAACACATTCGTATTCTCTCTGACAGCGCTTCTGTCCTACAGGCACTGGACAACAATATATTGACATCAGGCTTAATTTATGAATGCCACTGTAAGTTGACTAATATTGCTAACGACAATAGATTGACTTTGCAGTGGATTAAAGGACACAGCGACTCAAGGGGTAACGATGCGGCGGACTGCTTAGCCAGGGAAGGTTCTAGCAGGACGGCCATTGGTCCGGAGCCTATTGTACCCATACCCTATCGACAGCTGCGAACATGGATAAGGAAGCGCTGTCAACGACAACATAACGAATACTGGACAGAACTCACAGACTGCAGGCAAGCTAGGGAAGCCGTTCCCAAGGTAAACCTGCAGCTAACACGTAAGTTAATCAGACTTCCTAGACAAGCCTTAAAACAAATCGTGGGTATACTCACGGGTCACGGCTATTTCAACAAACACCTTTGTAATATAGGTATTTCTGACAGCCCTCTGTGCAGAGCCTGCCTGGAGGACGAGGAGACGAGCGCCCATGTGCTGCTGGAGTGCACGGGCGTTGCAAGACAAAGGATTTCTCTAATGGGAATCCCGAAGACTATAGTAGAGGCCTGCAGTAACGTTCGGGGACTGCTGAGCTTTCTGGAGGAGCTGGGATGGCAGGACTGATGCCAATCCCCACGCAAAATAGGCAACAGATGTCGAGTTGCGGAAACAGCCCGCCGTTCTACTAAGACTAAGACTAGAGAATTGTGCCAGAATCTAAACCAATATCTTAATTTTATATTATTATGAATATTTTTTTAAAGTTCTACTTTGTAGCTAACTTTACGTCCACGTTACCTTTTCCTCGGTTGTTTGTCTGCCATTCTTCTTGGTATAGCGCATGCGAGTAGGGCTCTCGTGCCGCTTGTCACGATATGGTTCGTAACGACTTTGGTGTAAGTTTGTGTTCCTGCAATAATAGCATTACAATTTTAGAACTACTTTTGCCGTCAATGTTATTTTGTAGTTAATTTACATTTTAACGTTTAAGTCTTTCAAGGGTCATAATAATGAGTGATCAATTGCAAGTATTGTTCAATCCATTCTATTAATGTTTAAATCGCTTTAAATGTAGTTAAGGCGGTAAAAAAATATTGCGAAACATGATTCTTTTTTTTTTCACGATCATTTAAATATTTTTCTAATTCGCTAAATTTAATTCATATCTGCATCAAGTATAGAAATTCAATAATTGTAAGAAGCCTTAAAACATAGACAACATACCTGCGCAGTAGTGGTTTTCGCATGGAAAAGTGCTACTGCGCAGGCTTCGTTTGTACGCTTTACGGTTAAAAAGTTGCAGATGTGTATAGTATACCTCGGAGGAGCTCAATGGCGCAAGTGGTTAGCGGGCTGTGATCGTTGAAATTAAGTAACTTTCGCAGTGGTCGGTCATTGGATGGGTGACCAAAAATTTACTACCTCGATCTCCTCCGTGCTTCGAAAGGCACGTTAAACCGTTGGTCCCGGCTACGTCTGCAGTCGTTAGCACCCACCAATTCGCACAGGGACAAGGCTCTCCCTGTTCCATTCTTAGGGAAGGCCTGTGCCCCAGCAGTGGGAACATTAATAGGCCGCTGATGATAGTATACCTGTTGTAGGGGCGTAGATCGCGACGCTGTTCCATTTCGTCGCTGATATCAGACAACGGCGAGCCAGCGCGTCTCTCCTGCCGTCCAGCGGAACGCTGATAGAAACCGAAAAATTATAGTTATACAGGGTTAATTTTAAAACATCAACAACCTCTTAGGGGGTGATTCTACCCATCAACAGGAACAACTTTTATTATGGGACCAACTCTGAAAACCCGAAAAAAAATCAGCTGTTTCATACATTTCCGTCGATTAGCTGATGAACTTTTGTATGACAGATGTTTTTTTCGCGATTTCAGCTTTGGTCCCATAATAAAAGTTGTTCCTGTTGATGGGTAGAATCACCCCCTAAGAGGTTGTTGGTGTTTTAAAATTAACCCTGTATAGGTTACTAATACAACAATTTGTGATAAATAATAAGGGACACTGAGGTGTTCGAAGGCAGTCGATTATGATCGTGAAAGTAATGGCAATGAATTTTAAGAGACGTAGGGCATAGTGGATTGCCCACTCAAATTGGAGCGCTCGTCTGGGGAAGTCATCTCCAGACTTACAAAAGATCACAGTAAAACAAGACTGCCTTTTGGTGATGTTGCGTTTCTGTTGGTGAGGTTCCAGGGCTCCAAGAGATATTTTCGATATAGCAAGCGTCTATCTATAGGCGGCTATGGTGGCCGCTTACTATCAGGCGGACCTTAAGCAATTATAGCCACCCTTTAAACATGAAAAATAATAATAGACTATTCGACAGTATGAAAAATAAAGTACCAATTCTTGGCAATCTGTATTTAATATCAATATGCTGTGCCTGTGCATATATGGGTAAACAATTATTGAGGGACATAGAACGCGGTCTTATTAATGGAGCTATACTACAAAGATGAATCATCTTTGTATCTTTGTACAAATGACATAAAACAAAATTAATTACTTTACATGCACTCATAAATAAAAATATTACTTACAGTGTAACTATTAAACAAAGGTTTCGTAGGCGCCGCAACTTTGGGAGGAGAGGGATCTCTCTTATCATATTTGCTGAAAGAAGAATTATCATATTTAATGGTACAATGAAAAACATAACAACAATTTTAAGAAAGCTGAAATAATAAAATAAATGAAGCGAAAAAAATGTAGACAAGCATATTTATTACCTCTTGGGTACATCCTGTTTGACTGTGAAAAGAAATAATATTTTAATAAAAATAACACATTATGAAACACAACTGACGTTGATCGAAACACCATTTTATATATAATTGTATTTTTTTTACGACTGAAATGATCGAATAAAAATATTGTAGTATAGATTTGTATATACCATGCCGGCACTTTACTTGGCTATTAATTTTTTTTATTTGTAAACATGACAATGTCTCTCCTTTTCATTCTCTATTAAGTGTGATAAGGACAATCTGCTGCCAATATGACAAATAGCCAACTCAAGTGCTGCCAGCATAACAAATAAGTAATAACAAATAAAATAATATTACCCTCAGTGGATTTATTTAACGACTCTATCAGGTCGGTATCGACAATCTCTTCCATAGTACAGCCTTCTTTCTCAGTGAAATGAGGACTTTTGGATAACCATTGGTGTATGCGTTCTCTGCAATGAATAGACAAAATTGCTTAGCAATCCGTGAATTCTGTGTGCAGTGTGTGTCACGGAATAGATTATAACTTTGTTAAAAACGTAAAGGCCTCAAATATTATAAACTAACAGGGACCATCCATAAATTACGTCACACGTTAAGGGGAGGGGGGTCAACGAAGTGTGATATCTTGTGGCAAAGGGTAGAAAGAGTCATTAGTTTCGTGACGTCACTATTCAAAATCTATATGTAATTGTGGAACCTAGAGACGTCAATAAAATTCATTAAATATGGAAGTTTTGTTTGCTAAGCCCACTAGAGAATTTTCACACAAAACCTTTGTAACGAAATTGTTTCACAATGATAAAGCTATTATAATTATTATTAGTATTCTCTAGAAATATATAAGCTTTATTTTACGCACTTTCTAAATAAGTTTTATCCATATTAGCCGGAACGAGTCTCGTATAATGCGATTCAACTAAGAATAGGACTGATTGATTGACTGATACGAACATGCATTTATGTAAACGAAAGTTTTAAATCGAGGTTATGAAAGTGACGACATTTGGTTGACGATTTAGGTTATCAAATAGTCATAACCAAAGCTCAATAAATGAAAAAAAACACCAAACAATATTTGTTATTAATGTTTACAAAAGTTTAGTTATTATTCTAGAATTAGCTGAGTGCTAAAAAAGGGTTACAAGATTTTTTGCAAACCGTACTTTTCAAGCGTCATTTGACAGATAGAATTCATTGACGTATCATATGACGACCTCCGTGGCCGAGTGGTTTGTACGCCGGGTTTCATGGCTGTCGCCGACTCGAGAGGTCCCGGGTTCGAATCCCGGTGGGGGCAGATGTTTGTGTGATGAATACGAGCATTTGTACTCCAGTCATGGATGTTTAATATGTATTTATATAAATATACTTATATATGTACAGTATGTGTATTCTATCCGTTACCCTAGCATCCCATAACACAAGCCTTATAGTGCTTACTTTGGGGCTAGGCTAATTGGTGTGAGTGTCGGAAATATTTATTTATTATTTTATTATTTATTGGCTTTCCTATTCTTATTTGAATCGCACTATACAGATATAAAAAAACAAGACACTGACTTTTCCTTCTCGTATTCCTCCTTGTCGATATTGACGGGTGCGAGACGGCCGTACTTGTCCTCTATTCTCTGGGCGATACGGTTCATAATGATGCCGACGCCTTCACGGTACTTCTGCAGGTTTTTATACGGCGCCAACAATACGCTCGCCTTGAGGAAGTGCCGGCTCTGAGAATTGTTTCGTTAGTTAACTTAGAACTGAAGGGGGTTTTTGTGTATACCTATATAAATGTATAGGTATTAATCAGTCTTAGCAGATAATTGTATCAAACATGAATGAGCAATAAATTATTATACCACGTTAACTTAGAACATAAGGTTTTATGAACAATGAACACAAAATCTAGGCAGGCACTTAACAGTTCTAGCAGATAATTGAATTGTATCAAAATATACCAAGCAATACTAGCAGCTAATTTAATAATGTAACCATATTAATAATTCGCCATCACAAAAAGTTTATAATATTATTTAAACAAAATGAAATCTTCTAATGAATAACATATCGGCAATTATTAATTGACCTAATCTTGGGTTTCAATCCTAGAAGGGCAAATGTTTGTATGATGGGTACTAGCATTTATACTGGATTCATGGCTGTTTATAAGTACACTACTGAAATAAATCTTTGCTCTCAATATTGTTACTTGGTGTTCTTTTGTATGTGAATAATCGTGTAAATTATTTTTTAAATTTTGGACGTGATAACGTCTTATAAATCGATAGAACACTAGCTGCACGCACGAAAACGTGTGACGTCATGTCACGAGTCACGTTATGTGACGTCATGTCATGTTAGTTCAACGTTCCGCGGTGTGTGTGAAGTGAGGTCGAGGGGTTCCTTCTATCGCCCCTGACCCAGCCTTCCCCCTCGCCCTGGCGGTATAAGTAGTTTAAGATTGGCGATATACTGACGATGTAGTTGAACCGATGCCAGAAGCAGGTCATGTATTGGATGACGGTGTGCGGATGGCCCTGCTTGTAGCACAGCGTGCAGATGTACGAGGGCTCGTAGTGCGCCTCTTCTGAGAGGTGGGGAGGGGTGGTATATATAGTGTAAGACTGGCGATATACTGACGATGTAGATGAACCGATGCCAGAAGCAGGTCATGTGGTTAATGAAGGTGCGCGGATGGCCCTGCTTGTAGCACAGCGTGCAGATGTGCGATGGCTTGTAGTGCGCCTCTTTTTGGGGCGGGAAGGGGGGTGTATATAGTGTAACTGCCGGTATACTGACGATGTAGTTGAACCGGTGCCAGAAGCAGGTCATGTGGTTGATGATGGTGCGCGGATGGCCCTGTTTGTAGCACAGCGTGCAGATGTACGAGGGCTCGTAGTGCGCCTCTTCCGGCGGGTGCTCCACGAGGTATTCCACGCCTATTAGCGGCGTACTGTGGAACAAACATTATCATCAGATTGTTATAATATACAAGCAGCAGACCGTCTTCATCCACCTAAAATTTTTTCGGGGTAAAAAGTATCCTGTCATACATCATAAACTACAGGATGGTCCAATTAGTGACGTCAACAATTTTTTTAGATTCCTCGCACCTGGGGGTATCCGAAAATACCCCATGACGTTCCGCGATTTTTCTTCGTTTTCGAGTTCTAAATTTTTTTGTGTATTTTTAATCATTTCCGCCAGCGAGGTTTCAAAACTTCATATCTTTTTTCGTAGTAAGTATTTTGCAGTCTTTTTTTTTGTAACATTATTATCTTGAATGCTGTTTTAATAAAAAAAATAACTCAGCGTCCTGAAATTACTTAATATTACTCAAAAAACGCTTGAAAGTTGGAACTTTAGTTTTTAATAGGATTTACTCAAACATTCAACTTCAATTTAAAAATACAATAAGGAGTTTCCATAGCTTCTGGCTAAAATTAAAAACTCCGCATGCTTCTAAACAACAAAAAATCTAAAAAAAAATAGTACTTAATCAGCCTACTTTTTTTTGGCCTTCGAAGGAGGATAAGCTAAAAATCATTGAAACATAATTGAAGCATAAAAAATAATTTTATCTACTTTTTATCATTAGTATGGTAAATTAAACTTAAAAATAGAATTTAAAATTTAATTTAATTTAAATTCCTGGAAAATAACTTTAGCATGTGTAATTTTACAATAATTTCGGTTTCACCACTAAGATTTAAAATGCGAACAAGAATTGAGACAAAAATAAAGCAAGAATATTCAAGTAGCTTCAGACAATTAAAACATTACTTTTAAGACGTTGTCAATACTCAGTTGATTCAGTTTTGAGGAAGGAGTTTTGAAAATTTACTGTAATTAATAGTAATTTTTCAGTAATTTGTGCTTTTTATTTGTATCAAAAAACAGGTAATTTCCCAACTAGCCATTTTGATCTTTATTCTTGTTCACATTTTAAATCATAGTGGTGAAACCGAATTTTTTATAAAATTCCACATGCTAGTCATTTTCCAGGAATTTCAATTTTACCATAACAATGAAAAAAGTAGATAAAATAATTTTTATTGCTTTAATCGTGTTTCAATGATTTTTAGCCTATCCTACAACAAATATAGGCTGGTTAAGTACTATTTTCTTTAATGATTTTTTGTTGTTTAATTTTAGGCAGAAGATATGGAAACTCCTTTTTGTATTTTTAAATTGAAGTTGAATGTTTGAGTTCCAACTTTCAAGCCTTTTTTGAGTAACTTTAAGGAATTACAGGAAGCTGATATTTTTTTAATTAAAACAGCATTCAAGACAATAATGTTACAAAAAAAAGACTGCAAAATACTTACTACGAAAGAAGATATGAAGTTTTCGAAGCTCGCTGGCAGAAATCATTAAAAATGCACGAAAAAAATATAACTCGAAAACTAAGAAAAATCGCGAAATATACATGGGGTATTTTCGGATACGCCCAGGTGCGAGGAATAAAAAAAAACAATTTTTGGGGTCACTAGTTGGACCACCCTGTATATGCGTACGAAATTCATCCAAATCCGTCCAGTAGTTTTTGACTGATCAAGTAACAATTTTGATTTTTTAAATCGGAGGTGATGACGGGGCAAAGTAAACGAAATTTTATTATTTCCATCAGATCATCAAAAATAATGATATTTTTTTTCCTTTGTCAATCAAGCAAATCTTAAGTGGAGCGAGGGGTACTTAGCTATAATTTATGAATATGCGTTCACAGGTTTGGAGATCATCCGCTCATTTCCCATTTGAGAAAAGGTTTTTATAAATTTCACAGTTGCGATTGCGTTATTAAAATTTTAAACGCCTATTTTAAAGCATTTAGTACCAGAGTCACCCGAAGCTTCGTCGCGTTGCCGGTCCGGTGGGAGAAGCATTACACTATATTATCGACAGTCCGATGTTTTACCATGAAAACTACTCACTGGCACGCGTCGAGCGAGTCCTGAATATGACAACGCACGTTCTTGTACTTGTTGTATTTGTTCTCCAAATCCGACGGGTTGTTGTGATAGTTCACTTCTTCGGCCATTTTCTGTAGAACCTTTTCTGTGGCTGAAAAACAAATGAATACCCTCAACTTAAGAGTAATCACGGAACAAAAGCATAGAAGTATAATGTAATGGCGTTTGAGCGTACTCTTCCGCATAGACTATAATATGTATAACAAATAAACAAATAAATTCTTTATTTATATAACGTTACCAAAAAGTATTAATGGAGTGTTGGTAAGTTGCATTTGTAATGAGATCGCTTTTTGTTTCGGTATCGTAAAGGTAACAAGGCTTACAAAGGCCAAAAACATCCAATTTGACGTTTATATAGTGGTACACACGCTGTTCATACTATTAGTCTCTTTTCTGGTCTATATGTTAAGATAAGGTAACTACATATATGAGTCGACTTTATGAGTTGAAATCTTTCTATGCTTAAGTTCTTGTTCTGAGAGGATGATATATGGAAAAGGTAGCAAATCTTACTGTCACTGTGTAAAAGTTAAACACTTAATACAACTGCAAGCGCTTATTCAATAACTCTTATAAAATTTGTGTTAAGGTTGCATTTGACATTAGATCGCTTTTTGATTGGGTATCGTATAGGTAACCAAGGTATCCAATTTGACGTTTTTATACGCTGTTCATAGTATGGTTCATAGCAAAATATATTTGTCCCTTTTTTGGTCTATATGTAAAAATAAGATAACTATATGAGTCGAATTTATGAGTTTAATTTAAACTCTTTCTATGCTTTAGTTCTTGTTCTCAGTTATGGATAATGCTTAAATGAAGATTATGCTGTTGCAATCAGTGATGTAATTTTAAAAAATCTTTGATCAGAACCAAAATTAATAACAAGTGAATCTTCACCTCCACTTTTTTCCTTGCTTGTGCCTTTTTCACTCATCACATATGGATGTTCATCGAAAATACTTTGAGGCCAAACATTCTTCATCGACAGCTTGATCTTGTGCTTCTTCCCAGATATATGAGTCTGAAAACAATGAACTGGTTTTAACAACTATTTATTAATTTGTCTTCATTCTAATAAGCTATTTGACAAGTCTTTGAAAATGATCATACGTTATTTATTAGTGTTGACTACAAAAAAACAAAAAATAAAAATCATATTTTCAAATATGCCGCGGAAACGATTCTCTAGCAAATATGGCGTGTTTACAGGCAGATGTCGTCACACGGCTCTCGTTAAAACGTCAAGCAGTACGAAGTAATATCACTTCAACAGCGTATTTACAAGCAGGTCACGTCATTTTAAGTTCCGTCAATCGTAGGTGTTTTAGGTCACGTGACAATAGATCAAAAAATACTTTTCTATCTAATGATTTTTTAGTAACATTACAAACTTTATTTTTATATTACTACTAGCTGTCCCAGCGAACTTCCTACTGCTTAAAAATAGGAGAATGTCGTTACTTTTAATTTAATTTATGATAGTAATGTGTTCCATTAGAGTTGGTTTAGATTTCTACGAATGATCATCACCAAGGTAAACTTCAGTTTTAATTAGTGCTCATATACAACTATTTTTTGTTGGGAAAATGCTTGATGCATACCCCGCTCCTGGGTGAGAGGCGGGGTTATGTGGGACTCCCCCCCCCCCCCCCCCCAAATCCCGCCCACCCGCTCATCCAAACTGGCTCAGCGGCTGCTCGGGACGAGGGGGGGGGGGGGGGCTACCCACTAATTTGAAGCAAGCGATAATTTCATTAGCATTTGTAGATCTTGGGTGATTGTCAAGGTGATATGAGTGAGTATCTTGGAATGACTTTCACTGTTTGGGGGGAAATTTCCACCAGTACAATGATTGTGTCTTCAGACCTCAAGTTATTACACAGATTATAACGATTAGGTATATTATCGAGCTAACCGTCTTCTTAGTACTTTTCTCATCTGAAAGTGTGTGCACTTAAAATTATTTTTTAGAAGGAAAATTCACAGTATATTCATATAATATCGTATTCCCTGACGAAGTGGACAGTGCCGTGTATTGACTAAATCCTTGAAGGTTACATTGGTTGCCTAGTCTTTGTCCTATATTCTCCAAACATAGCCCAGCCCCTAGTTATTTTATCAACCCTTACGGCTTTCAAGGATATTTTCCTTTGTGTGTGTTTCTATTTTTTGGAAATCAAAACCAATTAGAGTAGCAACGAAAATGGTCAATTTCTGAAGTATGAAATAAAAAATGTTGCTCTAGTAATTACTTCAGCAGAAGTAATTACTTGTACCTGCTTGTTTGTAACAACGGTAAGAGTATCCCCCACTGGAGATCGCATACATGTGTGGCGTCCTGCTGCTTCTTTTTTATTAACAACATGAGGGGACCACGGATAGCACATTACTTTATTTTTCTTTTTATATGGAGTAGTAATTTATTAAGATTTACAAAAAGTAATTTGCATGTTTCGTAGTTACCTGCAGGATGCTCTCCCCGCTGCAGACAGCCGCGCAGGGGTAGCACAGGTAGATCCATTTGCCAGACACGTCGCGCCCACGCCTCTCAACCATCGGCCGCGCTTCCCCATGCTCGACCTTGATCTTCAAGCTGTTCAGATGTTCCAGAAACTCTTGCTCCGCCTGACAAACACCAACCAAATTTATTACTATCACTCTATGCTAACTCAACTAATCTCTCAACGCCATTTTCGGTATCAAAATTTTCGCTTGTAGTATAAATAGTAAAGTTTTGCTTCAGTGACTGAAACCGAACGCCACGCAAATCCGTAACAAACACACACACACAATACTTTTGCCCCTAAATATTCGTAAAACGTCAACAGGGTTGAACACGATAAATAAAACTATACATTTTTAGTTACTTTTATTTAATTTATTTATTGGTATCTTAAATATATTTATTTGTGTAGGTTTGTTTACTTACCAGGCTGCCAAACACGAAGTGAGACCAATTGGTACGAGGGCACATAAAAAGTGCGTGTCATTTTTAAATCAAAAGACGACGGTATCACAACACAGACACGCGTAAACCCACTTTTGTATTATAATTATATCTAAACGTCATCATACGGAAGTTTGGGAAATTCTTCAATATTCACAAAGATTTCTGGGACTTTAGTGACTATAATTTAAAAGAAAAATATTGTTTTTAAATTTAAATTATATAGTCACTTCACCGTCATACCTTAGCCTACCGTAATTCCTACAAGTACGCAATACCAACGGGTCTTTGCCATGTCTAACCCTTTCCGAAAAACAGACATAAATAATGTCTAAGTACATGGAATTGCTTCTGTCAAGAGGCCTAGATCTCATACAGTGCTTGTCTTACCCAAAATAAGAGGTTCGAGATAAATTATAATAAAAGTAATATTATAATAATTATAAGTTCATGCAATTACTGACTCTTACAGGGCCTTCTTTAAAAGTGGTCGAAAAGATCATACAGTGCTTGTCTTAACCAAAATAAGATGTTCGAGATAAATTATAATAAAAGTAATATTATAATAATTATAAGTTCATGCAATTACTGACTCTTAGAGGGCCTTCTTTAAAAGTGGTCGAAAAGAGATGTTGTTAAGAAAAATTTTCTCACTTCAGTTGGAATTGCAACAAAATTTATTTGTTTATGTATTTTATTTATTTATTTTGTACACACACAATAAAATATTAGAAAAAAGAGAAACAAGAGACATGTACAAGGGCACTGCTTATTTCATAATGAAATTTCTTCCAGCAGGCCCGTCATTTATGTTGCGGCCGCAAGTAATTTTTGTCTGAACCTTTATTTGATTAAAGCTGGATGCAAATTAGGAGATGAGAAGTGGAGCATTCCTATTATATTTATCTATATATATATCATAGCATATAAACCTTCTGTGATAAAATATGTATCTGATGGTGAAAACCGTATCAAAACCCGTTGGCCACCATTAGATTCAAACGAAATTGTTCAATAATACAAAAAATCCTATGTATGTTATCGATTTTATTTTGTTAAAATGTCGTCACATTAACAGGTTGTACAAAACAGCTGATTAGCTGTTCTATGGTTTTGTAATACATTATTTAATCAAATAGGATATTTTGTATGCAAAACATATAGGATTTACGTGTCGAATCCATTTAACGAGTGCCTAAAGTGTCTTCCGGTCCAACTCAGAGACACCAAATAACCTTTAAGTTTGATTAAAGATGATGCTGTCACTAACACTGCGTTAACAATAGAAAAAGACAGCATGCAACATAATCAAACATTACGGACGGTACGATTTAGTTAGTGATAAAACTTGAGATGTTAATATGTATTTATTGACGGAAATTTGTATTTTTTTATTCCATGCTATTTTACCAGCTATCATTTTGTTTTTCTGTATACCTAATATCAAAATATACCTTATGTAACACCTTAGCTTACTAATCAAAATAATGAAAGTTGTCTGGGTTCTGTCTGGGGTGTGATTCACTTTTTAGGGTACATTGCGTAACTAGAAATCGAGTCCGACTTACACTAGTCCGGTTTTTATTTTCCGGCCTTACTATTGTCATCTGCCGGACAATGCCAGACCACCACTATGAATACTGCTAATATCAGTACTATGCAGAAGTACATCGATTACTTCTAATAATAATACCAGCGCAAGTTAAAATTATTATTTCAATGGAGTTCCGCCCGTAACTTTTTTACCGTTTGCATAAAAATTTGATAGTACCAGAAGGAACATAACATTATTCCGCTATTCAAAATAGTTAAGTGTACTAGTGTCAATCCAGCCCCCCTAGCATGAGCACCGCGATATCATATATAACGCGTTTTTATCACGCTCAATAGTCAAATTACTATGGAGTTTGACAGATAGACGTGATAAAAAACGTGATATAATTAAATTGTGATGCTCATGCTACGGGGACAGGTATTATAAACTATCCATGTCAAATTTAAATATAACAAGTTCAGCTGTTTTGTCTGATTCAAGTATTTTTATATATTGTATTATAAATAAAATTATGGGCACCTTTACTAAGGTCGTAAAAAGTTTGAATCCTGGTAAAGGGATTTACTTGTATTATGAGTGGCATTGAGAAAAAACAACTTATTGTGGTATAGTTTTTTGTCTGTATATTAACGATTCTGGACATGTATTCGGGTGCAGCTATCTGTAGTTGCTTTATTTTTTATCACTGAAAAGTCGAAAAAACTGGTTTACGATTTTGGCTATCTAAAAGAATTTGGTCTAACTTCTCTTGATGATAAAAGAAGTATATTATGGTAATCTGTATAAATGTTGAGTTGGTATTAATTGCCACCCTTATTGAAATAGTTTTGTGCTTTATGATGTGGACTGCAAAATTTATATTTAACTCTGGTCATTAATACAAAAAGGAAATATACATAATTTATTTAAATAGAACTCCCCTATGTCATATAACATAGTCTCTTGTTAGTTTGTTTACTTGATACATTTAATTGGTATCAGGTTTCTATTAAGTTTTTGGAGAAAATAAATTATTATTATAATAATGGAACAAAAAAAAACAAGAACAGTTCATAATGATTCAAAAACAATAGTGATATAGAGAAAAAAATCTAAAATACTTTCCACTTTAACCAGTGTTTATTAAAATATACAGTAGAACCCGTTTAATACGATCACGCTTAATACGATTTCTCGCATAATACGCCATTTTGCTTCATTCCCTGCAACGTGAGACACGTTTTCATAAATTTCTTAACGCTTAATACGATTCGTCATCCCGTTTAATACGCCTTAATCGCCGACACGTACCACACATATTACCCTCTTGCAGCAGCATAAAATTCAATGAGAATCTGAATAACACACAAGAAGAGGCCCTAAGTGATAATGATCAAGTAGAAGATAAGTCAACTCCGATTTTGTCTTCTTTGAATCAAAGTGAACATGCACTGCAAAAGTTAAATTATGTTGAAAATCTTGAAATTGCTAATGCCACAAAATCTTTTTGAAAAATTAAATAAGTGATTAATTTAAATAACGTAATAATAAATAATAATACACTACATTTTTTATAACATACATAATTTTCTTAAATATTGTACATACAAATTCGAAATGTCCCTATCCTGCATAATACGCTTTCCCGCTTAAGACGCGTTTTTGGTTGAGTCCCTGTGAAATGGGTTAAACGGGTTTTACTGTATTTTTTAAATTAAAGGGTGTGAATGATAAATGCTTATATGTAACTTATAACCATGTCAACCTTAAATTTGAAAAAAAAAATTATGATACATACAAAAACTTTTTTTTTAACACAAATTGATAGTACCCTCTCGAAGTTATAGTCCTCTTTTAACTGTTTTTTTTTCATATTGTTTAATTACATTTTTTATGTATTAGGTCATATAAAGATCTTTCATCAGCTAAATAATATGACATGAATTTAGTGCTTGTGTTAGAATTATGACTGAGGGTGATGTTGCAAATTAATTCATAACTTGGAAAGTAATTAAGAAAAATCTAAAAAGCTCTTACAGATCCTACACAGATTTTAATTAAATATAATTCTTATGAAGTGAATTAATATCTAAAACTAGTTTTTACGGGTTAATTACAGAAACTTTATTTATTTATTGACGTTTCGCAGCCTTTTCAGGTCTGCATCGTCACAATATCTTATTTATTTTACTCCAATCACAAAGATTGTATGAAAATTTGTATTTAACTTAAAAGTTAATTGACTTTCTCAGCAAGTTATGTTTCCAGTAATGTTTAATAATAATAATGAAAGTCTTGCAATGAGAAAATTTATTCTAAGAATGAAGTAGGTGCTGAAGTATGAGATAGTATAATAGTATAAACTCAAATAGATATTTACCTTAGTACCAGCTGCATCATCTGAGGCTGGTTTCTTGGCAACTTCAATAACAGAATCTTCATAACCTTCTGCTCCAGGTGGGCAGTCCGGCAGTTCCATTTTGATGCACTACACTTGATAGTTTATGACCATAAAACGGTCATAAACTTTAATACAAATGTAAGCAAAGCCTTCTTCTTCTTCACTTTCTTCTTACCACCAACTGTAAATGCAAATCATAATGTATAAATATTTTGTAAAAATGTAAATATTTAGGCAGTAAACTATAAATAAATCAATACTTACACTGTCCATGTCATGCTCTTAATTTCAAATCCAATCATCAGAGTTTTACTTTAGGTATTGAATTTAAAATAAAAATATAACTATCACTGACAGTAAATCAGTAGATTTGAATAAAAAATACCAATGTTTGGTACTCACTTTTACTAATAAGAGACAATGTTTATTTATGAATGAATCGAAACAAAATTTTGTCTTAAAATTTGAATTAAAAAAATATACAATTTAATTCATGTTAAAGATGTTTCTAAAGATTTCATATACCTGCTCTTTAATTAAAAGTATATGTTAATAACAACATTTTCACCATAATACACAGTACTGAATTATACCATACAAAGCTGCATCACTTTAGATCAATTTATTCAAAGAACAAGAAATGGCATTAAGTCCAAAATGTCTTCTTCCAAATTCACCGTTTCATCATAGTTGCACCTTTACTTTCTAAGTTGAGTTTGTGAGATATGTATGGAATAGAATAAACAAGGCTCTTTTGTATCAATAGACAAGACAATTTTTTTTTCACTAATGAATTTTCAAAGTGTATAGGCAATATGCATGATTTTTTTATTCTTTTATGTAGTAATTTACATCCCCTTTATTCAGTATAAAAAAATGGTACAAAGATACTGTTAAATATATATAGGCACCATGGACATGCATTTTAAAGCTTCCGATTTGGAACTCTCTACCTACAAAACAAAATCAATTACCTTACAAGTGCATTTTGCGTTCCAAACCTTCCTGCTGATGAAAGTTGGAACCTACTCCAATCAAATAGACATTATGTTTCATATATTTTGGGTAAACATTTAAATATCAGAGTGAAAAGTGGGACTCTGTATCTAGATGTGGAACGTGGCCCTTGCACTATAATATCATAAACATATCCTGTGAAAATCACATTTGTTTGTTGTTAGTATATTTTTTTACATCACAACCACTCTCGTCACGATTAAAATATTTTAATTTTCTACAAGTTTTTTGCACTTTTATAATAATTAACTTTTTGCTTGAAAATAAATTTTACTTATAAATATTGATGGAGGGACAACTTTAAAGTTATAACAGTTTATATAAAAATAAAATGTAGCTTATTTGAATTACATGCATATTCCCTATTATACATAAATGATTTCAAAGGATACATTAAATTTAATTTCATTATGAAAACCAAAATGTTTTACCTACTAAAATTATATTATTGAGTAAAGATTGAATGATCAAATTTTCCTTGTAACTTCAAAACTAATAATTTCTTCAAAAATGATCTTGGATTCAATATTTACCAGTGTTTTTGGCACAAAACATTATAAAGGTACATATCAATCACAAAACTGACAGTAGAAAGACTTCACAGATTAATTTTAACTGATTAATAATAAATTTTTATGGTAGCAGATAATGAACAAAATTTGTAATAAGTGTCGATGTTCAATAAGTCTTATCGCTTAATTGTTAAAATCTGTTTATTTCAATGATTTTTCACAAAGGTTTTTTCAATAATTACTAACACAGGTTTCTTGAATAATAAATAATACAGATGTTAGTACCTGTGATGTAATCGTAATGCAATCAAAGTCTTTCTAATAAGAACAGATCATCTTGACCATTGTCATCATACTATAAATATAGCTTAGAACTTGATATTGTGCTGATAATAGTAGTAATAAACTGTACGTACTACTTCTGTGAATAAAATATATTGTTATAAACTTTCATGGACACTAACATTAATGTGAGTAAGATGTTTATCCGCCGTATTCAGGCACGACAAATAACTTTGAATTATGGTGGTATAGTCTTTAAATAAGTGACTATGAACATCAAATATTATTGAAGTGCCCGAGTGCGGCCGTCAGTGAAAAAACATATGTATATATTGTATTATTTACAGAAAATACCCACTTACTATTTCAATTACGTTGCTGAAATAACAAAAAAAGGATCTCACTCATTCAATGCAGGATACAGATAAAACCGTAATAAAGTTTCTAGGTTATAAATAAAATCTTATAGTAAATCAAAGTACCATACAATACATTACTAAACGATTTTCTATATAAAAATGAATCCTTTACGAAGCACGAGTAAAAAAATATTACATGGAAAAACTGACCTGTTACGAGAATTCCAGTAGGTTAATGTTTATGTGCAATATACAGCTAAACTTCCAAAGAAAGCCCCATAGTGTTATTGGTTTAATTAACACACACGTCTGTACCATCTAACTCCAAAAAGATTGTATTGTAATTAAATTAAAAATTGGAGACTGAAAGAAAGAACTACAACAAGATGGACGTACATGGACGTAGGGATATTCGATATATATCGATGCATCGAAAACATCGATGTTTGCAATGAAAAACATCGATACGATCCGATGTTTTGAATAGCTTTCAATATACTCGATGCATCGATATTTTAAAGAAACATCGAATTGGTAATAGAGTATGACCACGTAGTGATTATATCCTCTTCGGTTTGACCTCAGTAAAAAAACTTAAGTTTGACCACTAAAATTTTACTTATTACTATTATGAAAGCATCATTATTCCGAATTCTCTGATATGGACCCAATGTTGGCAGCACTGCGCGAGAGTCAGTGCAGTGACAATAAAAAATAACTACGAGTTTCTATGTTTATAAACATTTAATAACCTTTAGTTTTGTGAAAGAAATTAAGATTGAAGTATATTTCTAATATCCTTTTGACAGACTTAGCAAACATTTTGCGGGTTATTTAGCGTTTTTTTATATGATCTTTTGTAAAAATATAATACCGATTATTCTGACACATGACTTTTATTAACTGTATTTAGTTTTACTTACTCATTATGAAAGGAGTTAATTCTATTATTTTATGAAAGATCTCTTATCTATTAGACAAGTCCGTCCGTCCGTCTGTCTGTGGTGCTGTTTCAACGGCCAAACCGTAAGAGATAGATAAAGAGAATATTTAAGTTATAAGTTAAGAATAGTCTGATAAGACTACAAACCGGATTTGAGTAACGTAGCACTTCCGGTTTTCGAGAAATCACGAATTTCAAACGAAACCACACAAAATCTTCGAAGTTCTCAATTAATAAAATACATTTTTTTTTTGAAATCAGGTTTTTGTGAACATTTGGTTCACTGGTTTGCTAGTTAATATATAAACTATAATAAAATTATGGATTAAGGTCTTTTCATAAACTTCAATTGTAATTTTTTTTACTATGAAAAGATGGCCATCTTTTGAGATGGGTCACTTTACACATAAGTTGAGTTTTGTAATAAAATTTCAGAAAAAGTACTCGATGTTTAAAATACATCGATGTGTTCATCCGATACATCGAATGACATCGATGTATAGTTGCGATGTATCGAATCAAAAAATACATCGATGTTTTTTCAGAGTGGACACCCCTACATGGACGTCAATCCAGTGTTTTTTTTTTAATAATTTTATGGCTTGGCAATCCAGTGTTTTTTTTTAATAATTTTATGGCTTGGCAATCCAGTGTTTTTTTTATTTATTTTTTATTTAAGATTTTCCCTTTTCAGGGACGGCAAAAGAAACAATGCCGATACAGCTAAGCCTTAAGTTATTATAATCTTCTTTTTTTACATTAGACTGTTGGTGTGACTCATTCTAATGTTACTTGGAGTGTTCGGCACGAAATGTATTGAGTTAGTTGTTCCGATAAGCTTCTGTGAGGTAGTCAACACTACAATAAAGTTCTCACTGCCACTCGACCGGAATAGCGTATATTTTAAAGATTCCAATTCTTCAGTTGCGCAGGCGGTTGTAACAGAAAATCACACCAAATTTATTTCACAATATCCACTATGAACGAATTTAAGAATTATTAAAATAAGACACCAACCGCACTCGATGAAATCCCGCCAAAAACTCCTCAAAATCAGTGGTCTCGCCAGTGTTGCCATTTTGCCATGTCCAAATAGTCAACGGTGATACCCTTAAAAAATACGGTAGATAAAAAAAAATACGGTGATACACCCTGGGAAAACGGTGCTAATTACGGTGCAATTTCTTTAAAGTGAAATATTTATCTTTTTAATAGTATCTTTACCATTTACTAAATTCTGGTTTCACTAACCATTCTTCACGTTTTTTTTTTCTTTGGCACTTGACTTCAGATTGAGAATTAGGATCATTTTAACTAATTTTCTAAGATCTAGATTTAAACAAGTAAATTAAAAACATTGAAATCTCATACACTCAACAGAAATATAACAGCCAGACGATAATAATTGATGCAATTGTTATTGTCTGGCTATTTTATTTCAAAAATCAAACCAAATGTAAATCTTACTCACGGTCGCCGTGTGTTATCGGTAATGTATGTGAAGATGTGCATCGCACCACGCAGGAGAAGGTCGCCCGTTCATTTTACCCTATTGGGCCCTCCCCGTTTCGGCATCTGCGAAGGTGCAACGCGAATCGACGCACGCAGAACTAGGTCATGCGGATAAACGCGATGTAGTGCCAGTCAGTGAACTCTGTCGTTTGACAAACGCTATTTCATTACTTGCACAAAATAACTGTGCGAGATCCGTAGATCTTATTAACTTAACTGGAGTATTTCCTAAAATTTGGAAGGAGGCTATTATAGTGCCTATTCACAAGTCTGGAGACTCGACATCCGTAATTAATTACAGGCCAATATCCATTCTGCCGGTATTTGCAAAGCTACTGGAATCACTTATGTATCCTGTGTTCACTCATCATATGAAACAAATATTGATACCTGAACAACATGGATTTACTAGTGGCAGATCTACCACCACTAACTTAGTATCTTTTGCCACCGATGTAATCGAACTTATTGACTCTCGCATTCATACTGATGTAATCTATGCCGATTTTGCAAAAGCCTTTGATAAGGTTGACCACCGCATACTCCTTGAAAAGCTAGAACAATACGGCTTTGCTGGCAACCTTCTCAATTGGTGTAGATCATACCTACAATCCCGCATGGGAAAAGTGGTGATGGATGGCTATTGCTCCCTACCCTATAATATCCCCTCTGGGGTAGCTCAAGGCTCTCATATTGCTCCCATCTTCTTTAACCTCTTTAAAAACGACATTTCATTATGTTTTAAATATTCAAAGTTTTACCTTTATGCTGATGATCTGAAAATAATGAAGGGGATACAACAGCCAGAGGACTCCCACCTTCTTCAAGATGATCTCAATCGTTTGAGTCAGTGGTGTAGCAACAATCGTATGTCACTAAATATTGAGAAATGCCACCACATAACCTTCACGAAAAATGTAAATCTCTTGAACAGCCACTACTTTATATGTGGGCAAAGGATTGGAGAGGTTGATACAGTTCGCGACTTAGGTATAGTTTTAGATAAGAAATTTACTTTAAACACCCATTATAACAAAATTATAATAAATGCTTTTAAAATATTGGGCTTTCTAATAACAATAGTAAAAATTTCAAAAATAAATCTACAAAAAAAACTCTCTTTAATTTTCTTGTGAGGCCTGCCATCGAATACTGCAGTACTGTCTGGTCACCCTGTTATAATGTTCATCAATCTAAATTAGAACGAGTTCAGAAAAGATTTCTATATTATTTATCTTACCAATGTAATGAAGCTAACATTGACCTCATATAATGCTCGATTAAAAAGATATGACTTAATGGATCTCAAACTAAGAAGACAGATTCTTGATCAGGTATTTCTTTATAAACCTGACAATGGTATATTTGATTGTCCGCAGTTACTCTCGAAAATTAGATTTAGCTGTCCTCGAAAATTACCAAGCGCATCCCGCTTCTCAGTATTTATTCCAAATCAAACCAAAACAAATCTGGGAAAATCAGCACCACTCAATAGACTTGTAAGCGTATTATGCTACTGGGCGGTAGTCGGCCCGACTACGAACCTTATAAATAGATATAGACAATGGTGCCAATTCTGGCGTCATTCTCTAAACTTAAAACTAAATTTAACATCAGTCTCTCCTTTTCATTCTGTATGGAGAATGACAAGGATATATTGCTGTCAAATTTAAGTTTAGGTTTAGAGAATCACGCTAGAATCGACACCAATATCGGATAACTAAATAACTAAAAAAAATAAAAAAAATAAAAACGGAGTTTGGTCTGGGGTGCCGCCTTGTGGCCAAAACTAGCTCATAGTTGCTGAATGATAGAATTTGTTAATTTTAGTTGTTTCCTATTGTGCATGCTCTAGCAACCTATAATTAAAGCGACACTAATCATAGCTTTAAACTGCTTCTGTAACTACTAACACTGATGCTGTGTTATGCTTTGTTGGTTGTCCAAAGATAAAAAAAAACTTTTCAGGTGATATTTCTGAATGGTTGCTATTCAAAAAGAGTTTCTACGACACAAAGTTTTCTTTCTCAACCAAAGATAATATGGCACGCTTGCGTAAGGCACTAAGCGGCTAAGTTGTGACAACGGTCGAAGGCGGCCCGTCGAAACTGCGGTGTTAAATAAGGTTTCTCCCGACCTGTCGACGTGTCACAAAGCAAGGTGACGTCGGTACCAAGGATCGGAATCGGTTCCAATTTTAAATTCAACGCGTCTTTCGAGTCTGCTAACTCCTCGTCAGATTGCTGTGCCTGCGCAAGAGCTGTGTAGTCTCGGTTTAAGGAAAGGAAGTCCTCCCCTTTGATGTGTCTAATATCAGTCATAAATTGACTGATAAATGACAGCTGGTTCAATTGGGGAGGGGGAAGTTTATCCCGGCGTTGTACGAAGACGTACAGCAGTGGCTTTTGGTCAATGTAAATGGTACAGTGTTCGACCTCTAAGATATGCCGAAAATGCTGTACGCTTTCATACACTGCCAAGAGTTCCCTATAATATGCAGGCCATTGCGACTGCCGAGGAGTCAGTTTTTTGCTGAAGAAGGCAAGAGGAGCCCACTCTCCGTCGGTCTTCTGCTGAAGGCAGGATCCGACATGGACACTAGAGGCGTCAGTGAAGAGGCCAAGCTCGGCACCATCCACAGGGTGTTGAAGAAGAGTGGCGTCACTGAGGCTCCTTTTGCATTCTTCGAATCGTTCCAGTAACTCGGGTGTCCAAGGGAATGGTTTCGCATCTTTGCTATTTGTAGAGACAATGGCGTCGATTAATGGAGCTTGATACTTAGCGGCGTGTGGAATGAATCGGCGATAAAAATTGATCATGCCGAGAAACCTCCGCATGCCTTGGACTATTTGGGGTGGGGGGAAATTTAAAAGATCCTGTACACGGCTTGGTGGTAGGCGTACGCCTTCGGCGTTCACGACATACCCAAGAAACTTTACCTCTTTGGCACCAAAAA